TTCCTTCCTCCTCCTTCCTTCCTTCCTTCCTGCCTCCCTCTCTATTTCTCCCTTTGCTTCCTTCCTTCCTCCCCCTTCCTTCTTTCCTTTCCTTTCCTTTCCTTTCTTTTCTTTTCCCTTCTTCCTTCCTCCTCCTTCCTTCCTTCCTTCCTGCCTCCCTCTCTATTTCTCCCTTTGCTTCCTTCCTTCCTCCCCCTTCCTTCTTTCCTTTCCTTTCCTTTCCTTTCTTTTCTTTTCCCTTCTTCCTTCCTCCTCCTTCCTTCCTTCCTTCCTGCCTCCCTCTCTATTTCTCCCTTTGCTTGCTTGCTTCCTCCCATCCTCCCTCCCTCCCTCCTCCTCCTTTCCTTCCTCCTTCCCTCCCTCCCTCTTCTTTCCTCCCTCCTCTATTTCTCCCTTCCCTTCTTTCACCCCTCGCAGCTGAGACCCGGGCAGCGCGCAGGGAGGGAGGCGGCGGCGGCGGCGGCTGCATCCAGCGGGGCTGCGGGCCGGGTCTTCCCCAGCAGAGGTCGTCGGGAGGACGGCGGGGTTGCGTGGCTGGCTGGCTCCTCCCTGTCCGGGGCCGGCGGGGGTCCGTTTCATGGAGCCGGGCCCGGCGGGGTGGGTCGGCGGGCGGCTCGCGGCTCCGGGAAGCGGCGCCTGGGCCTCTCCAGGCAGCCCTGGAAGAAGCCCGAAGCCGCGAGGCGATGCCGGCCTCTTGCCCGCCAACGCTCGGGGTCGCCCGACTCGGGTGACCGAAGCAGGTAGGAGCCGCAGAGCTGCGTTCGCACGACCGGGTTAGCCCGGGTTAAGCTGGGTTTTGCGGGGAAGGGGTTTGCCTTGTACAACGAGAGGCAGGTCGGAGCTGGCAGGCAGGGAGAAGAGGGGTCGGGGTCGGGGTCGGGCCAGCTCTGGGTCGTGTGAAGGGGACCCCCAACCCGTTCACTAGGCTCAGATTAAGACCTGGTCGTTTGGGGGGGTGGGGGGGGAGCCCAACCCGGGTCCTGTTAACCCCGCGTGGGGCATCGCTGCAAATCACACCCTGGTTTGGGAGAAACGTGTCTTGTGTGAATGCGGCAAGCGGCGCCTGCGATTCCGCCGCTTTCTGCTAGCCAGCCCCAAGAGCCACATTGAACCCGGCCTGGCTCCAGGTAGGAGCCCTGCCTAGCCACGTGACCATCTTTACGGCAGGTTGATTCCTCAAGGTCTGGAAGAGAGGCAGGTTGATTCCTCAAGGTCAGGAGGAGAGGTGGTTCCTGGAATGCCGTAACCTGAATCAACTCCAGATTGGTTTGAACCGGCCAGTTTTAAAACCCTAAATAGACCTAAACCACCATCCACAAAAGTCTTTTTAACCAGACCCAGCCTGTCTTTCTCAATCCTGTTCCAAATGGCACAAACATCCCTATTATTTCTAGTAAGGATGACGGCTAGTCCTCAAACTATAACCACAATTCCATTGCTAAGCTTCGTGCTTTTGAAGTCAGTCGTGCCAGATTTTAGCAATTTTTTAAAATGGTGAAGCCATTAAGCGAATCACACGGTCGTAAAGCGAATCCGTTGACTTTGCTTGTCGGAAGCCGGCTGGGAAGATCGCATGACCCCAGGACCTTGGCAGCTGTCATAAAGACATGCTGAGCACCCGGATTTTAAATCTCACGACTGTGGAAATGCTGTGACGGTCGTAAGTGCGAGGACTGGTCGTAAGTCACTTTTTTTAGTGCCGTCATTTCAAACGGTCGCTAAACGAATCGTAAGTTGAGGACTTCCCTGTAAGATACTTTGGGATGTAAAGTTCTGGGGTGCCTCTGACAACAGAGGCACAGCTCAGCCCAGAATTTCCGTTGCTAAATGAGACAGCTGTTAAATGAACATATACATACACATACATACATACATATATACATACTATATATTTTTTAAAAGTTTTCATTGCTGACACAATATTTTTTTGGGAAGTAGCTACTCACTTCCATCTGGGTGGCAAAAGTAAAAAAGGAATTGAAAGCTGGTTTGGTTTAGCAGTTAAGCCATCAGGCTGAAGAGCGGGAGACGGTGAGTTCTAGTCCCTCTTTAGCCACAAAAACCGACTGGGTGACTTTGGGCCAATCCCCAGGAGACGGTGAATCCTAGTCCCGTCTTAGCCATGAAAACTGGCTGGATGACTTCGAGCCATTCATTCTCTCTCCGCCCATTCCATCTCACAGGGCTGTTATTGCTGAAAAAATTGGGCGGAGGAAGGTGCGTTGGATATCTTCCTTGCTCGAGTTATTTATAACAATAACAAAGGTGGGATATTACAAATAATTTTTTAAACAAAATTCTTTTTCAGAGAAAAAAAACTGGACAATCATTTGTCCGGGATTATATAGGGTCTCCTGCTTGAGCAGCGGGTTGGACTAGAAGACCTCCAAGGTCCCTTCTTAGCCCTAGGATTATATGAATGCCAAAGCTCAGGACAGCCTTTGGGTTAAATTTCTCCTTCAATCCTTTTTCTTTTACTCTGCAGATCCAGCCGTGGTTTGATAGAAGCGGAAGTGCACCACGTTTCCTGCTCCCACTTCGGGCAAGCTGTGAATCATGGGTCCTCAGGAAAAGCCCAAAGATTTGTAAGTTACAATTGTGTGTTTCCTTTGCGTAAGATGCTCTTAAGCCACTCCAGGACGTGACGTGCTCGGATACAAGAATTGAACCCACAAGCTGCATTTGGGGTGGATTTCCTAGAATCCTAAGCCGCTGTTTGGGTGGAAAGAAATTTTAGCAGCTCTGAGATATGATGGCTTGCGTACAGATGGTCCTCAACTTACGACAGTTCATTTGGCGACCGTTCAAAGTTACAACGGCCCTGAAAATTACTAATTTAAAAATCCTTGCACCAATGCAGCAGGAAAAGTCGTAAAGTTGCAAAAGTCACTTCACGCATTTCTCGTTTAGCAACATACATGCCGGCTCAATTGCGGTCGTAAGTCAAGGACTAGCTGTATTTAAGAGGGAGGGCTTGTTTCTGAGCATGTGTGGAGTGTTTCTCCCCCCCCCCCCGGTCCCCAGCTGAACTTTTTGTGTTGAGGCTTTCAGAAGCTTAGGAGCTGGTGCTTTCCAGCGGTGAGCTGATGTTTGTCATGCTACAAGTGTGTGCTCGTACGTGTGTTTTGCCTTTTTTTTCCCCAGGCCAGGCGGAAATCACGCTTCAAAAGTCCTACATTCAAAATTTGCAATTCTCCCATTTGAATACTTTCTGAATCCTACAGTTCTGTCTATCTCCTTTATTTTTTTGGTTGAGTTCTATTTTTTTCACTGCTCCAATAAACTCTGCTTTGATTTTAACATCCAGCTTCATTCTAATATCCCAGATAAATTGAAGGTCGACACTGTGAAAAAATGAAAATGATTGTCATAATAAACAACAACAACAAAAAGCCCTCTTAGCCATCTCTCGTTTCAAAAGCTTCCTCCTGTCAACTCAAAGCTCACTTTAAACTATTTATTTTATACCCCCCCGTCTAAATTTTTGTCTTTTCTACCCCTTGAGGGCGACCTGATGTCAAGGGTAGTAGGAATTATAAATTGGTACGACAGGCCCCCTCTTACCCGCAGTATTAATTCTTTATTACTCTCCTAGACCACAAAGGGAAAAAAAAACATCTACCTTTTAATTTCGTATCTGTGTCACTGGGCTTCCTTAGAGGAAACGAATTGCATCTAAAGCAAAGTTTCTCAATCGTGGCAACTTTAAGATGTAGAATATAGAGGAATAGGATTGGAAGGGACCTCGGAGGTCATCTAGTCCAACCCCCTGCTCAAGCAGGAGACCCTAACAGAATCGGAACAACAGAGTTATTTTTTGAGAACATTTAAAAACATTGGGAAACACGCAGCATTTGGCCTCGCCAGCTAATGACTAATATTTGACTAGTGACTAATATTTCCACTATGCTAGGCGTGGTTGTTTGAACAGTGTCCTTTTTAAAAGATATTTTATTTATTTATTTATTTATTTTTGTTTAAAATGCTGTGAATTTTGCGTTCACTGGCAGCATTTCTGTGGGTTTTCTTTGCCGCTGTTCGCGCGTCTCCTGGAGAATTTCCTTCCCGCCCCGATGAAATACGGACTACTATTGGCTAAATATTAAACCTGAAGCCACTGTCACTTTACGCCTTTACGTACACTTTGCATGCGCAAGCTTGCACACTCACACACACAGGTAGTCTTTGATTTATGACCGTCAACCAGAAAGTTTGCCATGAAGTGGTGCAATTGATAAAGTGAGGCATCGTGGGAAAGAACCTTTCTTGTGGCGGTCATTAAACAAGACATTACTTGACTGGGATTTGTAATCTTCCCTGCTGTTTTCCCCCATTGATTAATGTCTGTCTGTCTGTCTCTCTCTCTCAAAATGTCTCATCTATCTATAACTATATCTGTCTATCTAAATCTCTCATCTGTTTATTACTATCCATCTCTCATTTGTTTGTCTATCTCTTCTCTCTCTCGTCTGTCTGTCTATTGATCTGTCTGTCTGTCTGTCTATCACTTATCTGTTTGTCTGTCTGTCTGTCTGTCTGTCTGTCTCTATCTATCTACCGTATCTATCTATCTATCTATCTATCTATCTATCTATCTATCTATCTATCTATCTATCTATCTATTATCTGTTTGTCTCTATCTGTCTGTCTGTCTATCACTTATCTGTTTGTCTGTCTGTCTGTATCTGTCTATCTATCTATCTTCTTTTCTATTCTATTCCTATTCTGTTTTATTCTATTATTTATTCTATTCTATTCTATTCTGTTCTATTCTATTCTATTCTATTCCATTCCATCTATTCTATTTCCTTATTCTATTCTATTCCATTCCATTCCATTCATTCCATTCTATTCTTATTGTATTTCTGTTCTATTCTATTCTTATTCTTATTCTATTCTACTCTTATTGTATTTCTATTCTATTCTTATTGTATTTCTATTCTTATTCTATTCTATATTCTATTGTATTATATTCTTATTGTATTCTTATTGTATTTCTGTTCTTATTCTATTCTACTCTTATTGTATTTCTATTCTATTCTTATTGTACTTCTATTCTTATTCTATTCTATATTCTATTCTTATTGTATTCTTATTGTATTTCTATTCTTATTCTTATTCTATTCTATTCTATTCTAATTTTCTAGTTTTTATTTTCGATTCTCTATTCTCTGATTTCTATTCTATTGTACTCTCTAGGCTGTGTGGTGGAGTGGGTAGAGTCTAGGTCTGGTGATCTGACGGGGGGGGGGTCTCTCCTTCCAGGTTCCACTGTGTGGGAATCATATTTTTTCTACTGGGCTTAGGAACCCTCCTTCCTTGGAACTTTTTCATCACAGCCATCCCGGTGAGTCCTGCGTTTGGGAGACAGTCTTGGGCAATCGGAGGAGCGGAGACCGTCTGCTTTACATCCTTTTTTCTCCTTCCGTAAAGAGACTCGCGGCCACAACTCAGCCCCACAGTTCTGTTGTTAAGTGACGCATTTGTTAAGTGAGCTTCGCCCCATTTTACATCCTTTCTTGACCCAGTTGTTAAGTGAATCACTGCAGCTGTTAAGTTAGGAACGGTCGTTAAGCGAATCTGACTTCTCCGTTGACTTTGCTTGTCTGACGGTCGCAAAAGGGGATCCCATGACCCCGGGACACTGCGACTGTCGTAACTATGAGTCAGTTGCCAAACATCTAAGTTTTGATCACGTGACCGTCACAAGTGTGAAAAACGGTCATCGGTCCCTTTTATCAGTGCTGTTGTAACTCTGAACGGTCACTAAATGAGCTGCTGTAAGTCAAGGAAAGCATAAGTGCTTTCATACTGGTCATCCCTGGCTTGCGTCCGTTCGCTTAGTGACCGTTGAAAGTTGCAAGAGCCCTGACGACAAGGGACTTACGACCGGTCCTCCCACTTAACAACCGTCACAGCATCCCCACGGTCACGTGATCAAAATTGGGGCGCTCGGCCACCGGCATGCATTCACGAGATCGTGCGTTCACGACTCGCTTAACAACTGTCTTCCTTAGCAGCAGAAATTCTGGTCTCCGTGGTGGCCGTAAGCTGAGGACTATCTGTAGGAACAGGCCAGGATGGGAGGGATGGAAAGCTGCCCCTCTTTATACAAAAGAAATGGCTGATTGCATTGAGCACAGGGTTGGGATAGATGTCCTCTTAAGGTCCCTTCCAATCCAGTCATTTCCTTGACTCTTAGAATGCTTTCCACCCAATTCTGCCATTTCCCCCCCCCTTAACCTACATTTGTTTTGATGGGAGGGGGGGTCAGGAAGATAAACTAGGTTTGTTAAGCCTAGTTAACCCCCCGTTACATCCTCAGGGCCAACGGGGTCTCTAGAGCAGTGTCAGTGCACAAAGGATGCTGGGATACATTGGTTTTTTTTTCCAAAACATGCTCTCTTCTAATGAAACACTTTCTCTCCCGCCAGTATTTCGAGAAAAAACTCGGGGGGAACTGCTCTGCCGGGTGGGAGGCGGCTGGGAATCAGACAACCTCGAACCCGCCACCGGGGTCCGGCTGCAAAGACGAATTCAGCTTCAGCAACTGGCTGGCCCTCCTTTCTCAGTTGCCGTTGCTGCTCTTCACCTTTCTCAACTCCCTCCTCTACCGATGGTGAGACACGTTTCTGTCTACGTTGGAGTTGCTTTTCTCTCTGCATTTGACTCGCCGACGGCCTCTTACCACGTTTCTCTCTTTGGAGCTTGAGCATTTTAGCCCTGCTCAGGGAGAAGGGCCTTGCAGGATCCCAATCTGGGTCGGTCACCTGGATCGGAGGCTTCGTGTTCGGAGCTTTCAGACTGGTGCTGGAGCCCCTCCTGAGGGAACGTCTCTCTAGCCGAATGTGTGCTTTGGGCTATTGTATGTGGGATAGGAATAGAATAGAATAGAATAGAATAGAATAGAATAGAATAGAATAGAATAAGAATAGAATAGAATGAATAGAATAGAATAGAATAGAATAGAATAAGAATAGAATAAGAATAGAGTAGAATGGAATGGAATGGAATAGAATAGAATAGAATAGAATAGAATAGAATAGAATAGAATAGAATAGAATAGAGTAGAATGGAATGGAATGGAATGGAAATAGGAATGGAAATTAGAATAGAATAGAATAGAATAAGAATAGAGTAGAATGGAATAGAATAGAATAGAATAGAACAGAAATACAGAGCAGAACAGAATAATAATAGAATAGAATAGCATAATAATAGAATAGAATAGAATCTTAGAATAGAATAGAATAGAATAGAATAGAATAAAAATAGAATAAGAATAGAGTAGAATGGAATAGAATAGAATAGAATAGAACAGAGAGCAGAACAGAATAATAATAGAACAGAAATACAGAACAGAATAGCATAATAATAGAATAGAATAGAATAGAATCTTGCAATAGAATAGAATAGAATCTTAATAGAATAGAATAGAATAGAATAACAGAGTTGGAAGGGACCTTGGAGATCTTCTAGTCCAACCCCCTGCTCAGGCAGGAAACCCTATACCATTTCAGACAAATGGTTGTTCAATCTCTTTTTAAAAACTTCCACTGTTTGAACATTCACAACTTCTGAAGGCAAGCTTTTCCACTGGTCAATTGTTCTCACTGTTAGATAATTTCTCCTTAGTTCTAGGTTGCTTCTCTCCTTGATTAGTATTTATGTGTTGCCTGTTGTGTGTGGCTTTTTAATTGTTGATCGATGGTGTTGATGATTAAGTTCACATTCACATGTCTTTTTTTCCCCCCCTTGCAAAGCATTTCGGACAAAATACGTATTTTGGGCAGCCTGACGGCGATCCTGTTCCTCTTTGTGCTGACCGCCATCCTGGTTAAGCTGACGATGTCGCCCCAGAGTTTTTTCTCCATCACCATGGCAAGCGTCTGGTTCATTAACTGTGAGTTGGCTCTGGCTAATTCCTCTCCAGCATTGATGAAGTTACCTAGCTGGATCATGAGATGTCTGCAAGAAAACCACCAAGCACAGAGATCCCGCCCCAGGGACCCCCAAATTCCTCTCTGTTACATCTCTGAGATTTTGGGCTTTTGTCAAATCCTCATTTGCCCACCCCACTACCCCCCAAAACTCTGGGCAGCCTGCTTCACACGGTTGTTGTGAGCGCGAGGATTTGATTCCTGGTCCTTCAAAATCTATTGGGCCGCAACTCCCAGAATCCTTAGCCAGCATGTCAGTAGAGGGAAGTGTTAGATTACAGGGGTCTTCAAACTTGGCCCTTTGACTTGTGGACTTCAACTCCCAGAATTCCTCAGCCAGAATGCCTGGCTGACTGAGGAATTCTGGGAGTTGAAGTCCACAAGTCATCAAAGGGCCAAGTTTGAAGACCCCTGCTTGTGGGACTTCAACTCCCAGAATTCCTCAGCCAGGCATGCTGGCTGAGGAATTCTGGGAGTTGGTCCACAAGTCATAAAAGGGCCAAGTTTGAAGACCCCTGTGTTAGAAGGGTGTAGGCAGCAGCATTCAGCTGCGGAATTCTGGGAGGTGAAGTCCACCTGTGTTAAAGTTGTGAAACACCAACTTAGAGATCCGTTCAAAAGGAGATTGTTATCAGCAATATATTTTCTTTTCATCCAAATAAATGGGATATGCAATACAGTCGCTCCTTGACTTGCCACCACAACGGAGTCCAAAACTTCTGTTGCTAAGCGAGGAAGTTGTTTAGTAAATTTTGCCCCATCTTACGACACGGGGCACGGTTCAGTGGGCACGGTTCAGTGAAGTGCTGCAGTTGTTACGCCAGCCCCATGGACTTCGCTTGTCAGGCGGTCGCCAAAGGGGATGAACGTGACCCCGGGAGACCGCAACCGTGATATTATGAGTCAGTCGCCAAGCGACTCCATTTTGTTCACGTGACCATGCGGGATGCTGCGACGGTCGTTAAGTGTGAAAAACAGCCAGAAGTCACTTTTCCCAGTGCCGTTGTAACTTTGAACCGTCACTAAACGGATGGCCGTAATTCGAAGACGGTGTGTAAACAAAGTAGTCTCATTCTTGACGTTGTCCTCCTTTTTTTCCCCGTCAGCCTTCTGTGCCGTCCTGCAAGGAAGTCTTTTCGGCCTGCTGGGGTCTTTTCCGCAACGATACAGCACCCTGTTCCTCAGCGGTCAAGGGATGGCTGGGATGTTTGCCGCCATCGCCATGTTGCTTTCCAAGGCCAGTGAGTATCTGGGGTCTGGAAACAGCCATGGAAAACCCAGCCCCGGTGTTTTCAAGTCCTACCTCTTGGGTCCGTGGAGATTTTCACTCCTCCGGGTGAAAATTATCCCAAAGGTGCTTTGGGATCAGAACTGAAGAAGCTTCTTGGAGGAGAAGCGAAATGTTTTCAAGGGAAAAAAAAAAAGAAAGTCCAATTGCCTCTTGGAAAAAAGGGTCCTTTGGGACGCACAGCCACTTTTCTCTCCAATTTAGGTGGATTGGACGATCAGTCGTCTGCCCTGATCTATTTCGTCACCCCCTGTGCTGGGACCTTAGTTTCGATTGGGTGTTATCTCTTTCTGCCCCACCAGGTAAGATGAGATCCCTCTTAATAGAATAACAGAGTTGCAAGGGAACGTGGAGGTCTTCTAGTCCAACCCCCTGCTCAAGCAGGAAACCCCCAGGCCAGGGGTAGGCAACCTTGGCTCTTTTGTGACTCGTGGACTTCAACTCCCAGAATTCCTGAGCCAGCATGGCTCAGCTTGGAAACCTCTCCCTTTCCCCTCAGCGTGGCTGGCTCAGGAATTCTGGGAGTTGAAGTCCACGAGTCATAAAAGAGCCAAGGTTGCCTACCCCTGCCCAAGACCATTTCAGACAAATGGCTGTCCAGTCTCTTCTTAAAAACCTCCAGTGATGGAGCACCCACAAGTTCTAGTTGCATGCTGTTCTGCTGGTTAATTGTCCTCACTTTCAGGAAATTTCTCCTCCGTTCCAGGTTGCTTCTCTCCTTGATTAGTTTCCATCCGTTGCTTCTTGTCCTGCCTTCTGTTACTTAGGAAAATAAGTTGACCCCCTCCTCTTTGTGGCAGCCCCTCAAATATTGGAGCACTGCTATCATGTCACCCCTAATCTTTTTTTTTTACCAGACTAGACATCCCCAGTTCCTGCAACTGTTCTTCATAAGTTTCAGCCTTCAGTCCCCTGATCATCTTTGTTGCTCTTCTATGCACTCTTTCCACAGTCTCAACATCTGTTTTGTATTGTATTGACCAAAACTGGACGCCCTCTTCCAAGTATGGTGTTAGCAAAGCCTTATAAAGTTCTTATAAAACATCCCCTGGTTTCCCAGGGATCATTTTCAAGTTCTAAGGTCATGCTCTGGGATTTCCTGGTGGCGCTCCGTCCAATAGAACCGGCTTGGCTTTTTGAGAACCGGATTGGTCAGGAGCTCCCAGCAATCCAGGTGACCCTTGAAAGACCATCGGTTCTTCTTCTTCTTTCCCTGTAGTCCTTCACTCGTTACTATCTGGACAAGAGACCACCGGAAGATTTGGGATATGAGCTGGAAACCAAGGCAGTTCTTCTTTCGCCAGGTGGGACATCTGAAATAAAAATAAAAATAAAAATGGGGAGAATTGAGAAGTTGTCAACATTGGAGATTTTTGTGTTCTTTGTATGCTTTGGTCTTGCGATCCTGGTTGGTTCAAAATCAGCCTGGTGATCTTCCTGTGCTGGACTCAGAATTCTGGGAAATGAAGTCCGAAAGACAAATGGGCTGACCGCAGGGAATTTGACTGGGTCTTTTTCCCCCCATTCTCCAGAATCTTAACATCAGATGGGGGTTGAGGGCTGAAAACAGAGTTTCTCAACCTTGGCAGTTTTAATAAAGGTGGATTTTGCCTCCCAGAGTTTCCTCGCCAGCGTACTTTAAGATGGGGTGAATCAATGCAGTTGTTAAGTTGGTAACCCAATTGTTTGTTTTTTTCTTTTAATTTGTATTTTATTCAAATACAAAGAATATGACACATAAAAATAATACAACACATATAAATCTAAATAAAAAAACAATATAAAAAAAATACAAATACTACAGCGCACCCCCCCCCTGGAGACCACTTTTATGACCTATATTTCTTCTCATATAACAACTAACAATATGCAATATATTTCAATTGTGCCCTTATCCCCTCCAAAAGGGCATATATTCTCGAGCAGGTGTATTTATTCGCTTTGCCTTCCATCAAAACTGTTTTTATAAAATCATCCCATATTTCATTATAATTATTTACTTTAATCATCCCTTGGTGACACAATTGTTAAGTGGATCCAGCTTCCCCATTGACTTTGCTTGTCAGAAGATCACAAAAGGGGATCGCGTGACCCCGGGAGACACTGCAACCCGTCATAAATATGAGCCGGTTGCCCAAAGCGTCTGAGATTTTGATCACGTGATCCCGGGGAATGCCTCGACGGTCCTAAGTGTGAAAAACGGCCATAAGTCACTTTTTTTTTCAGTGCCACTGTAACTTAGAACAGTCACTAAACGAACAGTTGCAAGCCGAGGACTACCTGACGATTAAAAAGCTGCAGGGTTTGATTTTGATTGGCGCCCTTGCTTTGTGTCTCTTCAGATCTTGTGGCAGACAGTTCCAAAGGAGAGCCGCTCAACGTGAAGAATGGGAACGCCGGTGTTGTGGAGCAGGATGGCTCGGCTTGCCCGCCAGAAGTCATGAGTGGAGGGAGTGGGGTGGGCATGGTTGCCCCCAACCCCTCCCTCTTCAGCGTCCTCAAGAAGGTAAAAACCATGTGGAAGTTCCCGTTTCAATTCCTGGTAAATAGGACGGGGGACGGGGAAGAGATGGGTCATGAAACAGGAAAAGCCCTTTTCTGCAAAATCATAATCATAATAACGTTTCATCCATAATCGCGCAGTTTCGATGGCCAGCTCGCGATATTTTGTAATTTTTCCAGTTCTTTGTCTTCGATTGATATCGCTGTACCAGGAGATGCCAGAGTCGAAGAAAAAGAACTGGAAAAAAGTACGAGTGGGAGTCCACCCATTTTAAAACATGTTTGCTGGGGAATTCTGGGACTTGAAATCCACCCATCTTAAGGCACGCTGGCTAGGGAATTCTGGTAATTGGAAGTCCACCCATCTTAACGTGTGCTGGCTGGGGCATTCTGGGAGTTGAAGTCCACCCATCTGAAAGTACATTGGCTGGAGAATTCTGGGACTTGAAATCCACCCTTCTTAAAGCACGCTGGCTGGGGAATTCTGGGAGTTGAAGCCTACCCATGTTAAAGTTGACAAGGCTGAGAAACCGTGGCTTGGATTAAATGTTCCTTGGTCACACGACTGTTATTTACATCAATTTGTTTTTGTTGGTTTCTGGCCTTTTTGGTCAGTTTTTGGCAGAAAAACGGCCATTGGAACAAATGTATCCACTTAATGACCGCCCCATTCACTTAACAACCGTAGCAGAATAAATTGGAAAACTGAGTCAATCACATGGGCGCCTTGACTTATCGACCGTCATGACTTGATAGATATTCCAGGCTCCATGAAGGTCATAATTTGAAAACTGCCTTTACACTGGGGCTTGGTTTGCTCTGGAATTGTGCTCCATTTGATGCCGGTGGAAGGGAGACCACAGAGTGATCCGGATATTGAATGCGGTCCATGTTCACATCGCAGCTTCTGCTTTTCCACTTCAGATTTGGCTGCTGGCCCTCTCCATCGTTATGGACTTTTCTATTACCCTCTCGGTCTTTCCAGCAATTACCACGAAAGTCGTCAGCTCCACTCAGAATCCGCATTGGCGTGAGTCATGGGACCTTTAATTACTGGACAGGGCTGGTCTGCATTGGCTGGAGCTGGGGCGGGAGCAAGGGGGGGGATTTGGGGAAAGGGATCTGCTCCGAAGCTCATCTCCGAGTTGAAGATCAGGTGGTGGGAAAGGGCCGTCTCTAAGGAGGTGCTGGGGGCTCTCTGAGTTTGGTTTCTTGCAGACGTTTCATGACCCAACTAGGTAACATCATCAGTGCTAGAAGGGAGGGGAGTTTGAGGGGGAGGGGGGGAGGACTGTCAGGTCCTTGGTACTCTCTGAGCTTGGCTGTTTTCTTGCAAATGTTTCATGACCCAACTAGGTAACATCATCAGTACTAGAAGGAAGGGGTGTTTGTGGAGAGGAGGAGGACTGGGGGGTCCTTGGGGCTCTCTGAGCTTGGTGGTTTTCTTGCAGACGTTTCATGACCCAACTAGATAACAACATCAGCAATAGCGGCAAGTGGGGTTGGCTCTCTTTTTACATTCTAGTGGGTCGCCCTGTCAGTATTGTTGGGAAAGGTGAGGTGTTGGCGGTTTCCCGGTTCGGCCGTTTTTATTGACAGCTGTTTCTGTCTGGAACTTGGAGGGCTGAGCTAACTTGATTCAAGACACGGTCTAACTCTTCTGTGGGTCTCCCCATCTTCTCCCCACCTTAGAGGATTACTTCACTCCAGTTTGCTGCTTCCTTCTCTTCACTGTGATGGACTGGCTGGGGCGGAGTTCGACTTCCTACTTCCTCTGGGTGAGCAATTGGTGGCAGGAGTGGGATACATCCCCAGCTAGGCTGTTTCCCACAAAGGGGAATTGGGGGAGGGGGGCATCAAGGGCAGGCCTACAAATAGTCCTCGACTTACAACGGTTTAGTGACCCTTTGAAGTTTTGACGGCACGGAGACAAGTGACTTAGGACTGTTTTTCACACTTAACGACCGTTTGCAGCATCCCTATGGTCACGTGATCCAAATTCGGAGGATTTGGGCAACCGGCATGCATTTATGACCGTTGCAGTGTCCCGAGCTCACGTGATCCTCTTTGGTAACTTTCTGACAAGTGAAATCAAGGGGGAAGGCAGTTCACCACAGTGTTGTTAATAGCTGCAGTGATTCACTTAACAACTGTTGCAAGAAAGGTCATAAAGCGGGATAAAAGTCACTTAACTGCTTTGCTTAGCAACCGAAATGTTGGGCTCGGTTTTTTAAATCTTCCTTCCTGTTTAGGGTTAAGGGGATAGAAAATAAAAGTTTGGTCTACTGGTTGAGGCACCGGGCTAGGAACTAGGAGCCGGGAAGTTCTAGTCCCACTTTATCCATGAAAGCTAGCAGGGTGACTTTGGGCCAATCACCAGGAGACAGTGAGTTCTAGTTTTGCCTTAGGCAGGAAAGCTGGCTGGGTGACTTTGGACCAATCACCAGGAGACAGTGAGTTCTAGTTTTGCCTTAGGCAGGAAAGCTGGGAGGGTGACTTTGGGCCAATCACCAGGAGACAGTGAGTTCTAGTCCCACTTTATCCATGAAAGCTGGGAGGGTGACTTTGGGACAATCACCAGGAGACAGTGAGTTCTAGTTTTGCCTTAGGCAGGAAAGCTGGCTGGGTGATTCTGGGCCAATCACCAGGAGATGGTGAGTTCTAGCAGATGGATAGATGGATGGATGGATGGATGGATGGATGGATGGATGGATGGAGGAGCGGGCAGGCAGGCAGGCAGGCAGGCAGACACAGAGAGAAGAGATAGACAAATGAGAGATGGATAGAGATAGATGAGAGATTTAGATAGATAGATAGATAGATAGATAGATAGATAGATAGATAGATAGATAGATAGATAGATAGATAGATAGATAGATAGATAGATAGATAGATAGATAGATAGATGATAGACAGACAGACAGACTGCTTTATTTCTAAGCAACGTGGTTTTCTCTCGACAGCCACAGAAGCACCTTCGGCTCCTTCCCGCCGCAGTGGGACTCCGAATCATCCTCATTCCCATGTTTCTTCTGTGCAACATCCCGAGAAAGAGTGACTGGCCTGTGCTTTTCCCCCACGACGCCTGGTTTGTGGTCCTGATGGTGGCCTTCTCCCTCTCCAACGGCTACTTCGTCTCCCTCACCATGTGCCTGGCCCCCAAGTGAGTAGGCCTCCCCGATTCCTCTCCCAAAGCAGGACGCGATTAAAGCGAAATTCCAACCTAGAACGAAGGAGAAACTGCCTAACGGTGAGAGCAATTAAGCCGTGGAGCAGCTTTGCCTTCAGAGGTTGTGGATGCTCCAGTGACTGGAGGTTCCCAAGAAGAGATTGGACAGCTGTTTGTCCAGAATCATAGAGAGCGGTGTTTCTCAACCTTGGCAGTTTTCAGAAGGGTGGACTTCAACTCCCAGAATTCCCAAAGGTGGAGAAGGAAGAAAATGGGAGGGAAGGAAAGAAGGAAGGAAGGAAGAGATAGAGAAGGAAGAAAAGGGGAGGGAGGGAAGGAAGGAAGGAAGAAGAAAAGAAATGGTAGAGAAAGAAGAAAAAGATGCAGGCCGGGAAGGAGGGAGGGAGGGAGGGGAAGGAAGGAAGGAAGGGAGAGAGGTAGGTAGGTAGGTAGGTAGGGAAGGAAGGAAAGAGGAAAAGAAAGAAAAAAAGAAAAAGAAAGTAAGTGGGAGGGAGGAAGGAAGGAAGAAAGGAAGGAATGAAGGGAGGAAGAGAGGTAGGGAGGGAGGAAAGGAAAGGGAGAAAGAAAGGAAAGAAAGAAAGGGAGGGAGGGAAAGGAAGGAAGGAAGGGAGAGGTAGGTAGGGAAGGAAGGAAAGAGGGAAAGGAAGAAAAAGAAAGAAAGAAAAATAAAGAGAAAGAAAGAAAGAAAAAGAAAGAAAGAAAAAGAAAAGGTGGGAGGAAGGAAGGAATGAGAAGGGAGGGAGAGAGTTAGAGAGGGAAGAAAGGAAAGGGAGAAAGGAAAGAAAGAAAGAAAGAAAGAAAGAAAGAAAGAAAGAAAGAAAGAAAGAAAGAGGGAGGGAGGGAGGAAGGAAAAGCTAGAGAAGAAGAAAAAATGGAGGGAAGGAAGGAAGAAAAGAAAAAGTAGAGAAGGAAGAAAAAGAGAGGCAGGGAGGAAGGACTTCCAATTTGGACCTTAATTCTCTCCTCCAGGCAGGTCCAGCCGGAAGAGAGCGAGCTGGCGGGGGCCATCATGACGTTTTTCCTGGCGCTGGGACTCTCCTGTGGAGCAGGGCTCTCCTTTCTCCTCAAGTTGCTTCTTTGACGGTCTCCATCCCGCCACTCCGGCTCTTGAAGCCTCCAAGGGCGGCTGCGGAGGCCCCCCCTTGCACTATTTTCCTCTAAGTCCCCCCCCCATGTGGCAGCTAAGACACCTCCTTTGTGATGAAGAAAAACCAGATTTATCGGGCCATAACGCTTTCTCCAAGGTCCCCCCCTTTATTTATACACATACATATACTCCCCTTTTTTTTTGTGCCTTTGTGTGTGTGTGTGTGTGTGTGTGTGTGCCCCGTCTTTTTCTGTAGACATCTGAATGTATTTGGAAAGAAGCATTCTGGATTTTTGCAGCTAACATTTCTGTGAAACGTTGTACAAACGTTGGAGGCCACCTCAACAGGCTGTGATGGAAAGGGTGACTTTACTCCGGCACTTATTATTTTGTGACGCACAACAGCTCGACTTGCTTGAATACACGGCTAGATCAAGCTTGTCTTAAGCCCTTGTCGTCTGGACGTGTGGGAATTGCAACTCCCAGAATCCCCCTCGTCCTTTGGCAGATTGGCTAGGAGTTCTGGGAAGTGACATCCCAACAAAGGATCTCTCAGAGGCAACAGTAGATTCCTTCACGGGAATGCTGGTTAAGTCAAGGTCTGGGATCTTGGAAATCTGCCAGATTTAGAATGGTAGCCTCTCTATCGTGGTGGTGGTGATATTAAGTGTATCCTAATTACTGTTGTGGCCTAACAACAGTTGGATGGCTCCGAAGATGGCAAAAATCGCAAATAGGGAAGCGACCTTTGCCTCTTCCCCATTTTGAACAGATCTAGTAAGTGAGCCAGATTAAATCAGGACAAAAAAACTTAAAAGCGTGTCTTTTGTGTTTTTAAAAGGGACATCTACTTGCATGTACAATACTGATTTTTTAAAAAATATAATTATTTTGCTGTTACTTCGGGGAATGGATATGGGGAAGATATTATGTGCTCTCTAATAAAGGTTTTTTTTTAAAAAAAAAACAAACCCACAAGTTTTCCGTTTTTATTCCATTCACACCCGCAGAAAAATGTAACCCAAACTTTATTTCCCCAGAGAAGCGTCTCCAATTGCTATCTGCTCATATTTTGGGGGAGATTAAAGAGATGATCCCAGACAAAAACGGTTTGTCAAAATTGGCCTGGTGGTTGATATTATTTTTCAAAAAAAAAGTCCACAGGAACCAGCCACTGCACATCTGAGAAATTACAGAAAGAGTGTTGTGTGCCATTAGTACGAGGAGGATGTTGTGCGCACACTTGGGAAAGTGGCTTGCGTAAGTCGTGGTTAACCATGGATTTCTGAATAGAATCACTGTCTGCCTCGCCTTTTTGTATGTCACTTGGAGAGCTTTTTCCGTCAGAGGTATGGAAATACTTTAAATAATTCCCCCTCTCAAGTTGCTTGGCCTTAAGATTATTCTTCCGAAAAGCAAATTGATCAATAAACGAGATAGAGATGAAAATTAATTATTTTTTTAAGATAAGATAGACAAACGTCATGCACCAATTCTTCCATTGGATGTAGTTTGATGGTCTCTCTTTCCTGTGTTCTCTGCGCATAAAAGCTTGCAAATCTTTTAAAGAGCCAAAAGCATGGAATACCAGCATGGAATTTAAATAGTCCTCTATTTACGACCATTTAGTGACTCTTCAAAGTTAACAATGGCACTGAAAAAAGCGATGGATGACGGTCGATCACACGAGCCTTGCAGCATCCCCCGGGGTCACGTGATCAAAATTCGGAATGCTTGGCAACTGACTCGTACTTATGACAGTTGCAGTGTCCCGGGGTCACGTGATCCCCTTTTGCGACCGTCGGACAAGCAAAATCCATGGGGAAGCCAGATTCACTTAACAACCATGTGACTATCTTAACAACTGTGGTGATTCAATTGACAACTGTGGCAAGAACGGTCGTAAAATGGGGGAAACGCACAACTGTCTTGCTTAGCAACGGAAATTTGGGGGTCGATCGTCGTAAGTTGAGGACTATCTGTAAAAGTAATCCTCGGCTTACAATCGCAATTGGGAAGTGAACTTTCATTGTTATGTGAGGCTGTGAAGTAAGTCACACCCCATTTTACAGCCTTTTTCTGCTGCAACTGTTTTATTTATTTATGAAAGTTATTTGCTTGCCCGTCTCGGCCCAAGGTTAAGAAAATCACAAGGTTAGAATAGAACAGAATAGAGCTGGAAGGGACCTTGGAGGTCTTCTAGTCCAACCCCCTGCTCAAGCAGGAGAACCTATACCATCTCAGATAAGTGACTGTCCAGTCTCTTCTTAAAAACCTCCAGTGATGGAGCACCCACGATTCCTGGTGGCAAGCTGTTCCACTGGTTAATTGTCCTCACTGTCGGGAGGTTTCTCCTTAATTCCAGGTTGCTTCTCTCCCTCTTAGATCAGTTTCCAACCATTGTTTCTCGTCCTGCCCTCTGGTGCTTTGGTTGACTTTGCTTATCAGAAACTGGCCAGGAAAGTCGCAAATGACGATCAGAAGACTTGCCACCATCATAAACACCTGTCAGTCGGCAGCTGCCCAAATTTCAATTGGGTGACCCTGAGGAGGCTGTGACGGTCTTAAGCGCGAGGACCGACTTGCGAGTTACTTTTTTTCAGTGCCGCTGTAGCTTTGGACAATCCCCAAACTAAACGATTTGTAAATCGAGGACTGCCTGTATTGTCCCATGGATGTTTTTAAGAGATCCTACAATCGCAATTCTGTGGCAGTTCAGCGTTTGGCCACTGAATTATCCTGCATTTGGGGTTTACGCAATCTGGAGGATTTGGAAGTTAGCAGAATTGGCAGAATGAAAAACAAACAAACAAAACATGATTTGCTTGCTTTCCCCCCCAAAATACATTTTCTGGCGTGGATTGGGGACACACACACCCCCCTGCAGCTCTGCTTTCCAGATCTGGGATTTCCTTCTTGCAAAAGGCTCCACCGCCTGTTGGGGATGATGGTTTTTGCAATCACAGCGCACCTAATTTCAGAGCCCCCCCCCCCTCTAAAACATGGGAAGTCTCCAGCTCCCATTAGTTTTGGGGTGGGTGGAGAGCCAAGAATTCACCCCCCCAAAGAGGGTTTTCGTCTCTGGAGGAAGACCCTTGCAAAGGATGGAGGGAGGGGGGGCTCTCCACCCTCTCCGCTTTAAACCTCATTTTTGGGGGGAGGGTTGCAATGCAAGAATATAAAGTCACATTTTTTGGGGGGGGGGGAGTCCCCGGATCCGTCCCAAAACGGTAGCGACGAGGGTGGGATTCGAACCCACGCGTGCAGAGCACAATGGATTAGCAGTCCATCGCCTTAACCACTCGGCCACCTCGTCTCACGGAACGTGGTTTGTTCGCCAGCTGGTCTATGCTTGCTTTCCTCCAAACCGGGATTTAAAAAAAAAATTGCAAATTGCATTGCAAAAAAAAAAAAAAAAAAAATTTGGGGAGGGGGGATTGGTTCCTGCTTTCGCCCCCCCTTCCTCCTTCCCACTCCGATCCTTGCCATGCTTCCGTTGCAAAGCCTCTTTCCCGTCTCTCCCCGCCCCAATGCAAAAAAAAACAAAACACCCTCTAATGGGGGGGGGATGTGAGCGAAGCCCACCCACTCCCTCCCACGCGCGCCCCCCCGTGCAAAGACCGCGCAAGGCAAAGCCGGCGCGCAAAAGGCAACCGCGAGCCCGCGGGCGCTGCAAAAAGCAAAGGGGGTGCGAGGGTTTTGGGGTTTTTTTTTTGGTGGGGGGGGCTGCAAAGGCTGCTTTTCTTGTTGCACTGCCTCCTCCTGCTGAGCAGAGGGCGCTGGAGGGAGCCTCATCGCTAGCAAGCCCCCCCCCGCCGCCTAGGTGGGAGGTGGGGGCCCCCATTTTAGCTCGCAGCTAGCGCGAGGTTGGTACTAGGAAGCTCTGCTTGTGTCTTTGCTTGCTTTTGCAAAGAGGGGAAGGAAGGGGCGCCACGGGGAGAGCCAATGGGCCAAGCTTGAGCCCTGGTCTGCTCCCCACCCCCGCCCCTCCATGACCTGTTCCTGCTTCCAGGCGCTAATCCTGGCGCTGGGACTGGTGGCCGGCTTGCAACTGCTTTATTTGGCCCTGCTCTCCGGGCTGCATGGACAGGAACAGCGCTCTCGCTATGCCCAGCTTTTCCAGACTCGCCATGCCTTGCCAAGCAACGGGCACAAGCAGAGGCTCAAGCCGGTGCTGGCCAGTGGAGGCAGCCTGGATGCCAGCGGGCAGTACCGCATCTACCGGGACATGCTGCGGGCCTCTTGGGACGACCAGCACCGGCAGGACGTGGTGCTGGTCACCCACACCAGCCTGGGCAACCTTCACCATGCCCAGCAGCTGGTGGAGCGCTGGCAAGGACCAGTCTCGGTGGCCCTCTTTGCGCCAGGCTCTGACGACGTGCGCCAGGCCACGGCCATGGTGTATGCCTTAGCCGTCCTGTGTGCCCCTCTCCGGCAGTGGCTTCGCCTGCACCTGGTGTGTCCTGCCAACCAAATGGCTTCCTTCCCCGAGCCGGACCAGGACGAGGGGGAATTGGCCCGCCTCCGGTCTTGCGGAGATGTTTTTGCCAAGCTGGCACAGCTAGGGGCCGGCCGGCGTAACTATGCCATGGATGTTGCCAATGCTTCATACCCCAACAATCTTCTGCGCAACGTAGCCCGAGGGGCAGCCGGTGGGTACTGGGCGCTGGTGGTCGACATGGATATGGTGCCCAGCGAAGGTCTGCGGGAAGACTTCCTGGCCTTGCCTAAAGCCACCGATGAGGGGACGCCGCGGGTGTTTGTGGTGCCGGCGTTTGAGATCCGTCACACGCGCCGGATTCCGGCCAGCAAGACGGAACTGGTACAGCTGTATCAAGTGGGGGAGATCCGACCGTTTTACGAGGAATTGTGCCCCCGGTGTCAGGCTCCCACAAACTTTTCCCATTGGTTGAACCTTCCCGTGGGGGGCGCCCTGCGTGTGGCCTACGAGATGGCATGGCGAGATCCTTGGGAGCCCTTCTATGTGGGTGCCACCTCAGTGCCTCCGTACGATGAACGTTTCAAGCAGTACGGCTTTAACCGGATCAGTCAGGTAACCAAGCAAGGGGAAAGACCAGGCAACTGGGAGAATTCAATGCAGGCAGTCCTCAGCTTACGACTACAACTAAACCAGAACTTCCATTGCCAAGCAAGGCGGGTGTTAAGTGAATTGTGCCAGATTTTATGAGCTTATTTGCCACGGTCGTTAAGCAAATCGCTGCCATTGTTTAGAGTGAGGACCAGTTGTAAATCACTTTTAAAGTGCCGTTGTAACTTTGAACGGTCATTAAAGGAATGGTTGTAAGTCAAGGACTATCAGTATTTATTAATTCCCAAGATTTTCTCAGGATGTTTATACTAAGGTTATTGTTTAAGGTTGGGTGTGTGAGATCTATCATCTATCTAGCTATCTGTCTGTCTATATCATCTATCTTATATATCTATATCATCTATCATATGTCTGTCATCATCTATCATCTGTCTGTCTGTCTATCTGTCTGTCTGTCTGTCTATCTTTTATCAATCATCCATATCTGTTTTTATGCTGCCCATCTCCCTTACAAGGTGACTCTGGAGCATGGTGATAGACACCTTCATTAATCTCTTGGTTTCTTCTCTTTTCCTGGCAGGCCTGCGAACTCCACATTGCCGGCTACCATTTTGCAGTGCTGAGCAATGCCTTTTTGGTTCATAAGGGATTCAAGGTGGCGGGTGAGTTCCATGCACAAAAGGATGCTGAGAACCAGCGCAACAAGATCCTCTTTCGACAGTTCAAGCAGGAGCTGAAGAGCAAATACCCAGACTCGCCACGGAGATGTTGAAATGCACTTTAATTTTGCTGACTTTAACTTCAGCTACTTTGGACTTGGAGTAGAGCTACAGACAAGATGAGAACAAACTCTGTTTGCAGTATAATTGTATGAACAAGCTGTGGGTCATTTTTCAATTACTAAAGACAGTCTGTGTCATTGATTTCACTTCTGCACTGCGTTAGTCAGTTTCTGACTGTTACTATGGGCTGACAGAATAAGATCAAAGGCTATGAAAGGATGGTGTGAGAACATGGAAAAGAGCTTTCAGTTTTGAACTCTTTGAGACATGAAATAGTAAAATGTAGACCATTGTGCAGCGAGATTTTTCCGCTTTGTGCCTGACCTTCCTTCTTCAACTGGTCACCTCAGTGTCTTGTTCTGCACAACGAGAAGGATTGCATAGGTCCTGGAAGAGAAGTGCTTAATTTATTTCTGTACCTTAAAATTACAAACCACCTGTTAATTAAAGTGAACAATTTCAAATCTGTTCATTTTCTACCAGTCCGTATTTTCAGAGCTTCCAGTGAACCATATCAGCAACTGTGTTATGTCCTTATTTATAATCAGTTTGTGCAATCTTCTTGCACAATGTATTATTATGTTGTGTTGCATAGTCAAGCCAGATGTTTGGACCGGGTGTGGAATTTTTTCTTATCAATTCATCACATAGTCAGTCAGATATTTTGACTGGATTTGGGAATTTTAATCCACCTATTGAGCCCTTCCCAAGGACCTGGGATAGGCAGATATTGTTGTTTAATAATATTAAAGGAATGTAATTTGTTCCTAGCAAAGCTGCCTTTTGCAATTGACTGATCATGATTTTGGCAATGGTGATGGTTTAAGTGGTGCTCCAGAAGTTTCAGGATTGCACCCATGTTGCCTATCACTATTGATCCTATCTTTGCTTTCTTTTGCCAGTTATCATTACTTTTATTATTAGATTTCTCTCTCCTGTCATCTCATGCATAGCCTCCAGATTTATGCTGCTGTTATTTGGGGATTTTAAAAAAAACGATAGCATCTTCTATAGCCATTGCAATCCTGCACAGATATTTGGGAGTTCGTCCTTTTCCAAAAAGGCTCATATTTTAAGATTTGGATGGGGGGGAATCCCTTTTTTTGTTTAGTTTTTCAGTTTTTCCTTTCCCATTTTACTATTTATTTTTCCTCCTTCCGTTCCCAGGGTTCTATTTTCTCTGTTGTTATGGAAACGCCTCTCTTTCCGCTTCCGGCTTCCCACAATGCCGTGCGAAAGAACTACAGAGAGGTGGCTCTAAATAGCGGGATCATAGAGACGTAGCCGCGCTTCCAACGGCCGGCATTAACAGCCGGTCGGATTGGTTAAAAAGAGTGGGCGGGGCCGACCGAGGGCCACTTCCGATCGCGGAAGGGAACCCGAGCGGCGTCTACGCTTTGCGCGGCTCCTCCCCCAGGTAATGAAGGGGGTCTAGACGCTTTTCCCAGCACCCCCCTTTTTTCTGGGTGTTTGTTGGTCCCGCCCATTCCATTTGGGCGAGCGGCGAGGCGACTGTGGATTAGACCACTAACCGGGCTGGGGGTACACATTTGTGTGTCGGTGCTTTTGTATGAACGTACGTGCGCCTCTACGTAGGATTGGCTTCTGCTCGCTACGTTCTTTGTTGAAGGCGTATCGTAGGGGGAGGAAGTTCCTCAACGTACTTCTTGACTTTTCCTTTTTAACTTCTTCCCCCCCCTCCTCAAAGAATTGGTAATCTGTTCCCCCATCATATTAATAGGGGAACATGGTTCAGTCCATTGCATTATGGGGGGAGGATGGAGGGTGCAATATTTATGTTTATTCCTAAACATTTATAGTCTCTTATTTATGTAGCTGATTGGTTAGCAGTCCACAACAATCGTAAATGTCGTTTTAAAAAGTAGTCAAGCATGACAACTGAAAAGCATCAGGGGGTAACTTAAAACCTGCAACAGTAAGCCAGCTATTTAAAAATACCCTTTGGCCATTATCATTTGCAAAATGTTGTCTTAAAGATGGAAGGTTTTTTTAGGGAGCAGATGATGGTCAGTCAATGAGGTCTGAAGACTTGTAAACAAGTCTGAACGCCTGGGATGGCCTCTCCAAATACATGGGACTACAGTTCCCATCAGCATGGTTGGGTATGATGGGAATTATAGCTCATGTGGGGCACCATACTGGGAACAAGGCCCAGGCATAAGCTTCAAAAAGGTCCTTTTCTTAGCCTCAAAGGACCATCCTTATTGCGAGCCCCCAAAACTGTCAGTTCTCGTGGAATGACCCCCTGACAGTCCTTGACTTACAACAATTCATTTAGTGACTGTTCAAAATGACTACGGCACCGAAAAAAGTGAATTATGAGCATTTTTCACACTTGCAACCATTGCAGCCAATAGTCACGTGATCTTAATTCAAACGTTGGCAACTGGCTCATATTTATGACGGTCATTATCACACCAGTTGTTAAGTTAGTAATACGGTTGTTAAATGAATCTGGCTTCCCCATTGATTGTGCTTCTCAGAAGGTCACCAAAGTTCATGTGACACTGCAACCATCATAAATATGAACCAGTTTGATAAGGGTTTGGATTTGGATCACGTGACCATTGGGGACACTGCAACCGTTGTAAATGTAAAAAAAAACCAGTCATCACTCACTTTTTCCAGTGCTGTTGTAACTTTGAACGGTCACTAAATGAACTGTTGTAAGTCGAGGACTAACTAGTTGAGTGGAGGTACTTGATTTAAAATTTGAAATGTCCAGAAGGAACAATTGCTTAGAAATCAATATTCAGAATCAGAATAGAGTTGGAAGGGACCTTGGAGGTCTTGTAGTCCAGCTCCCTGGTCAAGCAGGAGATCCTATACCAATTCAGAAAAGTGACTGTCCAGTCTCTTCTTAAAAGCTTCCAGTGATGGAGCACCCACAACTTCTGGTGTCAAGCTGTCCCACTGGTTAATTGTTCTCACTGTTAGGAAATTTCTCCTTAATTCCAGGTTGCTTCTCTCCTTGATGAGTTTCCATCCCTTGCTTCTTGTCCTGTCTTCTGGTGCTTGGGAAAATAGGTTGACCCCCTCTTCTTTGTGGCAGCCCCTCAAATATTGGAATATTGCTATCATGTCCTTCTTTTCTCTAGACTAGCCAAACCCAAATCCTGCAGCCGTTCTTCCTATGTTTTAGTCTCCAGGCCTTTAACCATCTCAGTTGCTCTTATTTTATTGTATATTTTTTTAGCTAGTTAATGATGGCCTTGAAAAAAGTGACCTGACAGGTCCTGATACTTAACAGCCGTTGCAACATCCCCGTGATCATGGGATTGTGATTCGGGTGCTTGACAAACATCATGCATTCAATGATGGTCACAGCGTCCCGTGGTCACGTCATCGCCATTGGCAATCTTCCCAGCTTTTCTTCCAACAAGCAAACTCAGTGGGGGAAGCTGGATTCACTTAATGCAGGGGTCTTCAAACTTGGCCCTTTGATGACTTGTGGACTTCAACTCCCAGAATTCCTCAGCCAGGCTGAGGAATTCTGGGAGTTGAAGTCCACAAGTCATCAAAGGGCCAAGTTTGAAGACCCCTGACTTAATGAATGTTTTAATGTATTTCTTTATATTTATTGTGATGTAAGCTGTCTAGAATCGTTTGAAACGAGACGGGCAGCAGATACATGTAATAAGTAAGTAAGTCCCAAAGATGCTTTTTCACGAGGCAACTGGACATTCTTGTTGTTTCCTTTGAAGACGTTTCGCTTCTCATCTAAGAAGCTTCATCAGCTCTGACTGGATGGTGGGGAATGGAAGGATTTATACTCCTGGATGAGAAGCGAAACGTCTTCAAAGAAAAACAAGATGTCCAGTTGCCTCGTGAAAAAGCATCTTTGGGACAACCAGGACCTGGATGACTGAGAATCTCCATAGACATTAAGTAAGTAAGTAAGTAAATACATAAATAAAACCACTGCAGCAAAAAAAGATGATAAAATCGCCTGTTTTTCCTTCAGGTTGGGTGTCTTGACATCGGTCACCACCACCATGCCTGTTCAGCCTCTGCCTAAAGAGATGGAAGGCGAAGGCGATTCGGCCACAGAAATGAACGGCGAGGAAGAGAGCGAGGATGAACGCAGTGTCAGCCAGTCGGAATCCGAAGAGGAAAGTTCAGGTAAGCTTCAGGAGGGGAAATTGAGTTTTTGTGCTACTAAAATGCAGCCCAGAGTCTTACGTGAAACTTAATGGTTGGATTAACCCTACAGCAGGGGTGTCCAAGCTTCTCAACTTTAAGATCTGTGGAGTTCAACTCCCAGAATGCCCCAGCCAGCCATGGAGAACTTTGTTGTTGTTAGTTGCGAAGTCGTGTCCGACCCATCGCGACCCCATGGATGACGTTCCTCCAGGCCTTCCTGTCCTCTACCACCTTCTGGAGTCCATTGAAGCTCACGCCTGCTGCTTCAGGGACTCCATCCAGCCACCTCGTTCTCTGTCGTCCGCTTCTTCTATTGCCCTCCATCTTTCCCAGCATCAGGCTCTTCTCCAGGGAGTCCTTCCTTCTCATTAGGTGGCCAAAGGACTTGAGTTTCAACTTCAGGATCTGGCCTTCTAAAGAGCAGTCAGGGTTGATCTCCTCCAGGACTGACCGGTTGGATCGCCTTGCAGTCCAGGAGACTCGCAGGAGTCTTCTCCAGCACCAGAGTTCAAAGGCCTCCATTCTTTGGCGATCAGCCTTTCTTAGGGTCCAACTTTCACAGCCATACACTGCAACTGGGAAAACCATGGCCTTGACTATACGCACTTTTGTTGGCAGGGTGATGTCTCTGCTTTTTAGTATAAACCAATTAATCCAAGCCAATGTATAATGCGGTGTTTCTCAACCTCATGCTGGCTAGGGCATTCTGGGAGTTGATGCCCACCCATCTTAAAGCATGCTGGCTGGGGAATTCTGGGAGTTGAAGTCCACAGGTCTTAAAGTTGCCAAGGTTGGAAACCCCTGTTTTACAGGCTAAATTTAATTCATTTTACCTGCCATATACTGTCGTGCATGTCAGGATAGAGTTAATTCTGTGCATCATAGTTCCTTCATTCTGCCTGCTACGGTGTAATTCTGCAGATCATGGTTTAGTTCATTCTACAAATCATAACTTTTCCATTCCTTCCGTGGTTCCGTTAATTCTGCATTTTATAACATAGTTAATTTTGCCTGTCCTAAAGTAAATTCTGCCTAATGAAAAACAGTCGGTCAAGAATTTTGGACAAGGCGGTCCGAAATTCAGAAGCCCTGAAATAAATCCCCTTTTATCCAGGGATCTTGTGGGTTGCTTTTCGAATTGAATCCAAAAATTGTCCATTTTGCCCCCCTCCCCCCCCAGAGATGAACGATGAAGACTACGAACGGCGCCGGGCAGAATGCGTGGATGAAATGCTAGATCTGGAGAAGCAGTTTTCTGAAATCAAAGAAAAGTGGGTTATTTTCTTTCTCCTTTCTGTTTTCTTGTGTCTGGGTTTTTTAAAAAAAATACGTGCTTGTGTCCAGTCAGTCCTTGACTTAACGACAATTTGTTGAACCATGATCCGGAATTACAAAGAGGCTGAAAAAAGTGACTTAACTTTTTCAGAGAAAGAGAGTCCTTGACATACAATCACAATTCAGGCCAGAATTTTCATTGTTAAACTCATTGTTAAGTGAGTTAGGCCAAGTTTTATGATCTTTTTGCCCGGTCGTTAAGCAAATCGCTGTAAGTTGTTAAATGAATCAGTTGGTGGTTAAGTGAATCTTGTTTCCCCTCCTTGACTTTACCTGCCAAAAGATAGCTGGGAAGCTGCAAAGAGTGATCACCTGACCCCAGGATGCTGCAATTATTGTAAATATAGGTAGGTGGTCCTTGACTTACGACCACAATCCAGGCCAACATTTCTGTTGCTAAACGAGACATTTGTTAAGTGAGCATTGCCCCACTTTACAATCTTGCTTGCCGCAGTTGATGAGCGAATCACCGTGTCATGGTTCCGACAGGTGAAACTTCAAAGAACTTCGAGGCATTGTTTACCTTAAAGAATCTTTATTCGAGCAGCATAGCATCGGCACGTACATAGCAAAGCCAAAATCTGAATTCCCCTCCCCTGAGCACATAATATCAAACACAATTCCCTCCTCCAATTCACAGTCATAAATCACATTCTCCAATTAGTTTGAAATGCAGGCTTCCCCTCCAGTTCTTCAACCCGCAATTCCTTATCATCTCTTCTTTCAAAAAACCTTGGTTCTCACCCTAGTTACAGTATTGTTATGTCTAACTTAAACTCCCATGCACATTCCTCCTCCTCCCCCCCCCCCAGCATCATCTAATTCTAACTCTAATTCTAAGAGTAAAACATGAGAAGGAAAATGGCTGCATCTCCATAGGTTGTCAAAGCACGAACATTTTTTTTTAGTTTTTAGCTCCATTTCTTCCCCGTGAATTAGTGGTGCCTCTTTTTCAGGCTTTTTAAGGAGCGTCTGAATCAGGTGAAGGCCAAGTTGGAAGACGTGATGTCGGGAAAAGCCGCCGAATACCTCGACCCCCTGGCCGTGTTGCAGAATCACATGCAGATCCAGATCGAAGTGGCTGGTAAAGCTTTGTGGCCCACAAGCCATGTGGGGTGGGGGTGAGGGGGTGCATTTGAGGCAGGAGACTGATCTTGGAACTGCCAGGATGGGGAGAGTTTTGAATGAACTAAACACAACCACCGAAATTTCCATATTTCCCATTGCCGTTATTTTCCCCCCAGATTCTTAGTCTAGGTCTTCAAGCCTGAAAATTTCCTAGTGGTCTCTTTTCCTAATGCACTAAAAAAAAAAGCTTATTCACAGTCTGCTAGGGGTTGCCATCTAGCTGGGCAAGTCATATAAAAGATCCCTTTGAAGTGACTAGATCAGGGGTAGTCAACCTTGGCTCTTTTATGACTCGTGGACTTCAATTCCCAGAATTCCTGAGTCAGCCATGCTGAGGGGAAAGGGAGAGGTTTCCAAGCTGAGCCATGCTGGCTCAGGAATTCTGGGAGTTGAAGTCCACGAGTCATAAAAGAGACAAGGTTGACTATCCCTGGACTAGATGATCACTCTGCTGTAGAATTTTTATTTTTTGGGGGACATAATTTCCTACTTCAGCTGTGGGATCTCTGGAGGGTCTCTAATCCAAGCACTATTGGGACTTTGTATGTATAGCTGATAAAATTATAGCGAGTCAATTGCAAACAGCAGCTTTACCCAGAAGAGGTCACATCCCGTGACAGTAACTTTAATCCCATCAAACATCCACATCTGCCTCTCCCAGGTCCTCGGGAAGGACTCCATAGGTGAATAAAAATGCCAAACCCAGTCTGAACATCTGGTTGACTCTATTAGAATACCACTTCAGACAAATGGTTGTCCAATCTCTTCTTGAAAATCTGCAGTGATGGGAGAGGGAGGGAGCGAGGGAGGAAAGGAAGGAAGGAAGGAAGGAAGGAAGGAAGGAAGGAAGGAAGGAAGGAAGGAAGGATAACAGAATAACATAGTTGGAAGGGACCTTGGAGGTCTTCTAGTCCAACCCCCTGCTCAGGCAGGAAACCCTATACCACTTCAGACAAATAGTTATCCAATCTCTTCCTAAAAACCTCCAGTGTTGGAGCATCCAGCATTCTTAAAAGAGATCCTGACCAACCGTAATCCATAATCCATCCCTTTACCCACTTGCTTACGTATTCGAAAACCCCTCTTTAATCATGGCTTTTAATAAAGAATAAGGCAGAAGCTTGGGTGGGATTTGTGGAGGAGGGAACAATATCCCCCCCACACACACACACACACCGAATTCACTTTCCACTGACTCCAAATATTTGCACTTTTTTTTTTTCTCCTCCCAGGGATATATAGAGGTTTTTGCCTGGAAGTCATCAAGCACCGACATGGGTGTGAGCTGCAAGGAGCTCAACAACATCTGGAGGTTAGAAGACCCCACCCTAAACTTTTCATTTACCACCACCCCCCATTCTCAAGAAAGTGGGAAGGGGGCATTGGCCCCATTCCACATACAGGTAGTTCTCCACTTAGGCCACAATTGAGCCCGAATTATTTTGTTGTTAAGTGAGTTTTGTTAAGGTGGCTTTGGGTGTTGGCTGGTTGTAGGATCCATCCAGGCCTACTTTTGGGCCTGGCAACAAAGAAAGAAAAGGATGCCGGATATTTTCTATATTGTCTATCTCAGGGGTAGGAAACCTTGGTTCTTTTATGACTCGTGGACTTCAACTCCCAGAATTCCTGAGCCAGCCACGCTGAGGGGAAAGGGAGAGGTTTCCAAGCTGAGCCATGCTGGCTCAGGAATTCTGGGAGTTGAAGTCCACGAGTCATGAGGGGGGCCATAGTTCCCCCACGCTGGCTCAGGAATTCTGGGAGTTGAAGTCCACCAGTCATGAGGGGGCCATAGTTCCCCCATGCTGGCTAAGGAATTCTGGGAGTTGAAGTCCACCAGTCATAAAGGGCCAAGTTTGAAGACCCCTGGTTTAAATATTTAAATATTTTTTCCTCACGATCACGTGATCAAATTTCAGGCATTTGGGCAGGGATAAGCAACCATGGTTCTTTTATGACTCATGGACTTCAACTCCCAGAATTCCCGAGCCAGCCACGCTGAGGGGAAAGGGAGAGGTTTCCAAGCTGAGCCAGGCTGGCTCAGGAATTCTGGGAGCTGAAGTCCACCAGTCCTAAAAGAGCCGAGGTTGCCTACCCCTGGTCTATCTGCTTCTACTTTAGAGCGAGAAACTGCTGCTGTTCGACAGCCTTGAGGAGCGTCTGCTGGAGCGCATCCAGCGTTTGGAAGATGACAGACACAGCGTGGGCCTCACTTCCGGTCAGTTCCCCTGCCCAGTGGATTCTCCTTACCCTCTCCTGCCTGCAAATGCGATCCCTTTGAGCCAGAAAAGGATCAGAATTCGATTTCGGAGCCTGCAGTTTAATGTGTGGACAGTCTTGAACCTAGCTGAATAGAATAGAGCTGGAAGGGACCTTGGAGGTCTTCTAGTCCAGCCCCCTGCTCAAGCAGGAGAACCTATACCATCTCAGACAAGTGACTGTCTAGTCTCTTCTTAAAAACCTCCAGTGATGGAGCGCCCACTATTTCTGGTGGCCAGCTGTTCCACTGGTTAATTGTCCTCACTGTCAGGAAGTTTCTCCTTAATTCCAGGTTGCTTCTCTCTTTGATCAGCTTCCAGCCATTGTTTCTCGTCCTGCCCTCTGGTGCTTTGGTGAATAACGTGACCCCCTCTTCTTGAAAAGGACTGTGTTCCACTCCCATTTTTGCACCACTCAAATGACTCTGAAGATACAGATAAACCTCCAGGTGGCCTCAACAACTCTCTAAAAGAAGGCAAATGACCAGCGGTCTGCAAGTCGTATAAATCCTTCCATTCCCCACCATCCAGTCAGAACTGAAGAAGCTTCTTGGAGGAGAAATGAAACGTCTTCAAAGAAAACAACAACAACTGGTCATTTGCCTTCTTTTAGAGAGCCGTTGAGGCCACTTGGAGGTTCATCTGTGTCCTCAGGGCCACCTGAGTGGCGCAAATGGCTGCGGAGCCTTCTTGGAACTGCTGGCCAGACTGGCAATTTTACTTTTACCTGGAAGGTCTGTTTTTTCTCTCCCTCTCTTTCTTAGAGTGGTGGGACGGCAAACTTCGGCCCAAACACAGCTCCAAAGAGTGGGACTCCCTCTGGCCCAGCAAGAGGAAGAAACCGCCGTTGGTGTCTGATATCCTTTTGTGCGATATCAATTTTCTAAACTTGAAGCGTCCACTTAGCCACGGAGTTTTTGTTCGTCCTTCTGCGAAAGAGAGCTTGGTATAGTGGTTAAGGGGCTGGCCTAGAAACCAGGAGCCTGGAACTTCTAGTCCCATCTTAGCCATGAAAACCAGCCGGGTGACTTTTTCATCAGTTACCAGAAGATGGTGAGTTCTAGTCCTGCCTTAGGCATGAAATCTGGCTGGCTGACTTTGTGCTAATCACCAGGAGACAGTGAGTTCTAGTTCTGCCTTGGTCATGGAAGCTAACTGGGTCAATCACCAGGAGACAGTGAGTTCTAGTCCTGCCTTAGGCATGGAAGCTAACTGGATGACTTTGGGCTAATCATCAGGAGATGGTAAGTTCTAGTCCCGCCTTAGGCATGGAAACTAACTGGGTGACTTTGGGCTAATCACCAGGAGATGGTGAGTTCTAGTCCTGCCTTAGTCATGGAAACTAACTGGGTCAATCACCAGGAGACAGTGAGTTCTAATCCCACCTTAGGCATGTAAAGCTAACTGGATGACTTTGGGCTAATCACCAGGAGATGGTGAGTTCTAGTCCCGCCTTAGTCATGGAAGCTAACTGGATGACTTTGGGCTAATCACCAGGAGATGGTGAGTTCTAGTCCCGCCTTAGTCATGGAAGCTAACTGGGTCAATCACCAGGAGATAGTGAGTTCTAGTCCCGCCTTAGGCATGTAAAGCTAACTGGGTGACTTTGGGCTAATCACCAGGAGACGGTGAGTTCTAGTCCTGCTTTAGGCACGTAAAGCTAACTGGGTGACTTTGGGCCAGTCCTCCTCTCTCAGTCCAACATTGCGCACAGGGTTCTTATTGTGGGGAAAATAGGCGGACGAAGGAGTATTAAGTACATTGGCCTCGTTGAGTTACTTGCAAAGTAATAAAGGCAAGATCCAAAACTTCTAATGAAGAAATAATGTAGAAAACAAACCATCTGAACACAGGTTGGTTGGGGTCTGCCGTGTCTGATTTCCCCGATTCCTCCTTAACGCCTCCCTCCCACGCCCGTACATCGTCTACATGCTGCACGATATCGACATTATGGAAGATTGGACGGCCATCAAAAAGGTCAGAGGGCACGGGGACCATGGAGGAAGGCAAGCCTGAAATGCAGTTTTGGAACAGGGGTGGGCAATTCGTTTTTCCAAGCGGCCACCGGAAACTGGGACCGTTGTGGAGGACCGAACCAAAAGGGCCGTGGATTTGCAGAGGCACACGTGCCAGCACATAACGTCAATGGGAAAAACATTTAACAGTCGCCTTCAGAATGAACAGAATGGAATAGAATGTAGAATATAGAACACAGGGTCTCCTGTTTGAGCAGGGGATTGGACTAGATGACCTCCAAGGCCCCATCCAAGCCTGTGATTCCAAGAGAAGCCAATGATTTGATTGCTTCTCAGGTTCTGCTCTTAATTTTTCCTTCCTATGATGGGATGAGTCTATGCCAGGGGTCTTCAAACGTGGCCCTTTGATGACGTTTGGACTTCAACTCCCAGAATTCCTCAGCCAGGCACGCCTGAGGAACTCTGGGAGTTGAAGTCCACACGTCATCAAAGGGCCACGTTTAACGACCCCTGGCCTATGCTATAGCATAGCATGGAGGTTGTAGAGCAGATTAACAGTCCTGTGGGGCAGGACTTCTCATTCCTTGTCGTCTTATTCTCCCTCCCTAGGCAAAAGCTGCTGTGTCGCCCCCCAAGAGGAAGCTTGAAGGCAAGTAACTTGGTTTCTTTGCATAACTGGGATCCCCCTCTGTATTTCCCTAAAATTGTGGCCTGGAGCCCAGTGCTTGAAGGGCTTGTTCAAAGGCACGCAGGACCCACCGACGTGGACCCTTTCGGCAGGGAAGGAGAAACGGTACGTCCGATTGAGGCTGAACTACAAGTCCCAGAACCCTTTGCAAAGCCAACCACGTAGGCTGAAGGGTAGGGCACCACTGCATGCCTGGGAAAATTGTCACTTAGCCAGGAATATATTTTTTTTCCACCAGGGTTTGTGGGGCTGATTGATGACTAATTCTAAGCTGTAATCGATGGGTTTGTGCATTATTCTGAGCCAGTGTTTCTCAACCTTGTGAACTTTAAGCTGGGTGGACTTCAACTCCCAGAATCCCCCAGCCAGCATGCTTTAAGAGGGGCGGACTTCAACTCCCAGAATCCCCCAGCCAGCATGCTTTAAGAGGGGCGGACTTCAACTCCCAGAATCCCCCAGCCAGCATGCTTTAAGAGGGGTGGACTTCAACTCCTAGAATTCCCCAACCAGCATGCTTTAAATGGGTGGACTTCAACTCCCAGAATCCCCCAGCCAGCATGCTTTAAGAGGGGTGGACTTCAACTCCCAGAATCCCCCAGCCAGCATGCTTTAAGATGTTCCCCCCACCCCTCCCATTGTTTCCAAGGACTTATTGAACTATTCTCTTAGGCTTTGGCTATTCCCCTGTTTCCTACGGTCATTCCGACAGACCATTATGTCCCTTCTCCAATCCCAAACAGCCCTGAGCCCCCTCTTTGCCCCCTCCTCTCCTTCCTCCAGGCCCGCTGAAGACTGACAAGCTGTCTTCCCCGCCCCTTTTTGCCGCCCACTGTGAGGATGGCCGCCTGCATTACGAGAGCGAGGTCTACGTCAAAGGGGAAAGCATCTACTTGCAAGTGGGAGACGAGACCCCTGTCCAGTGAGTTGCAAAGAGGGTGTGGCAGCCGTGGGGAGGTCAGCCAGCTGTGCCTGGTGGGGTTCAGCTATCTGAAGGATGGGGGGGTGGGGGGAGCTTGTCCACGAACCAGCAGATCTTTCAGGTCTGGTCTGACCAGGATGGATCGAAAAGGAGGCCAGTGTCTCTAGACCTTTTCCCAAACCCAAAGATCAGCCTTGAACCCGTAGCCCTGAGCACGACAGGCTCCCATTTAGACCCAGCCTTCCCTTAACTACTTGGTGTCCTCCAGTGGTAGGGGCTTTCAGGGCACCTCTGGCGAGCACAAAGTTAATTAATTAATAAGTTTACAATTGTAAGAGTGTTGAGTTGGGGGGGCTACAAAAGAAAGAAAAGGGAGGGACGGAGGGAAAAAAGAGGAAGAGGAAGGAAGGAAGGAGGGAGGGAAGAAAGGAAGGAAGGAAAAGAAAAAGAAAGAAAGAAAGAAAGAAAGAAAGAGAAAGAAAGGGGAGGGAGGGAGGGAGGGAAGGAAGGAAGGGAAAGAGAAAGAGAAAGAGAAAGACAGAAAAATGAAAGAAAGAAAGAAAGAAAGAGAAAGAAAGAAAGAAAGAAAGAGAAAGAGAAAAAGAAAGAAAAAAGAAAGGAGGTAGGGAAGGAAGGGGAAAGAGAAAGAGAGACAGAAAAGAAAGAAAGAAAAGAAAGAAAGAAAGAAAAGAAAAAGAAAAGAGAAAGAGAAGAGGTACGGAAGGAAGGGAAGGGAAAGAGAGAGAGAAAGAAAAAAAGAAAGAAAGGAGAAAAAGAAAGAAAGAAAGAAAGAAAGAAAAGAAAGAAAGAAAGAAGAGGTAGGGAAGGAAGGGAAAAAGAAAAAGAAGGGAGAGAGAGAAGGGAAAGAGAAAGGGAAAGAGAAAGAAAGAAAAGTAACTTAAAAACCGCAGTGATTCGTTCAACGACAGCAGCAAGAAAGGTTGCAAAACGGGGCACGGCTCACTTAACAACGGTCTCGCTTAGCCACGGAAATCCTGGGCTCAGTCGTAAGCCGAGGACCCCTGCCCCGAATGGCCGAATTGTGCGGAGTTGAGGGGGCCCTTAACCAACTCTAAACGGAGCCCCCCCTCGCTTCTTCCTTCCTTCCGTCCCCCAACTGTGTGTCGATCCCAGGGCTGTGATCACCGCCATCAGCACCGGGGAAGTCTGGCTGCGCCGGGAAGATGCTAGCAAAACCAAGATCTACGTTTCCCAGCTCCAAAAAGGCAAATATTCCGTCCACAAGGCTTAAGAGCATCCTGTGCGGTGTGTGTGGGGGGGGGGAGCCTGGAGGGCGGGCCTTCGGTAGCCCACCTCTTCCAAAACCACCCCGGACTTTTTCCTGGAAACGGAAGAGACCTGAGCCGGTATTTCTTCCAGGTGACACCCACCCACGCACCCAGCATCCCGGGACCAGATTGACAGTAGACAATTCTGAAGTTTTGTGTTGTTGGGTTTTTGGGTTTTTTTTTTTCCTGCGTTTTTAAGCGTGCTTCCTCACGGCAACTCCTCCCCCCCCCCCCCCCCCCAAAAAAAAGGGAGAAGGGAAGCTGGTTAAAAGGGGTGGAAGGAATCCCGCCTGGCCGAAATTCACAAATAAAAAGCACCAAAGTTGACCTGTTTTTCTGTATTCCGGGCTTTTTAATGATGCAGTGCAGGTAAATTCTCACGTTGCAACCGTTCGGTTTAGTGGGCGAAGTTAGGACGACGCTGAAAGAAGCGATTTAGGGCTGGCTCTCATGTTTACGCGGTCACTCCATCAAATTTTGGGCACTTGGCAATCGGTATGCACGGGAGACACACACACACACACACACACACACACGTGTTCCACAGAAAAATTAGGAAAAGAGTTTTCCTTTTCTTTAGAAATCCGTGTTTCACAAAATGCCCAGGCTTCCACGCCAATTCGTATCCGGAATTACTGCACTTTTCATCCAGTTTTTGGTCTGCTTCGAAAGAAAGCAAGTCAACCCACACCTATTCGGAGAAGCTCCAGTTTGCTGTAGCTTTGAATATAACTGGGAAGCACGGTGGAAGAACGTTGCAAGCCGGGTGGGGGGGTGGCGCTCTCACAAAATGGCTGCCAAAAGCGTTTGCCCTAGTTTGTAAACTGGTGGCTTGAGCCAGCGTTTCTCAACTTGGGCAATTTTGCGAGGTGTGGACTTCCAAGGGGACTTCAACTCCCAGAATACCCCAGCCAGCAATCTTTAAGATAGGTGGGCTTCAACTCCCAGTTAGGGGGGGTCGTTCGTACGAAATTCCCCCTCCCCTGAAGTTGAGGGTCTTAGGGGGGTCGTTCGTACGAAATTCCCCCTCCCCTGAAATTAAGGGTCTTAGGGGGTCGGTCGTTAGAAATTCTACCCACCTGAAGTTGAGGGTCTTAGGGGGGGTCGTTCGTACGAAATTCCCCCTCCCCTGAACAACTCCCAGAATTCCCCAGCCAGCAACCTTTCAGCTGGGTGGACTTTCAACTCCCAGAATTCCCTAGTAGCAGCTATCAGGTATAGAACTCCGCATGTCGGCTTGGGCATTCTGGGGGTTGAAGTCCACCCAGCTTAAAGTTGGCTGAAGTTGGGAATCACTGGGCTTGGGGGACTCCCTGCCACATTCCAGCTGTTGGTACCAACTCCCCGGAGCAGCTGGGAAGAGTAAATGAACTCTCCTCTCTTACAAACGAGGAAGCTTAAAAGGTTGACCCAACACCCACACCTAACTTCCAAAGCACTTCCTGGAAAGTTTTCCTTTACAGACGCTTGCAGCTCAACTTCCCCTTTAGGTAATTGGAATAAAAATGAAATTTAAATTGTTTTTTTTTTTAAAAAAATGGGGCGGGCAGTTCCCAGGGTGCCACCCACCTCTTCTTCTTCTCCCGGCTGCCAGCTGCCTGCCCAGGCCTCGCCCTCCCCTTGGAAGGCAGCCCAGACTTGTGTGTGCCGACAACTTTCTTTGCCACCCTGGGTGTGCGACAGCGAAAATCACATGGACTAGAGACGGGAGAGCATTCTGGAGAAGGAGCAGCCCTTGAGAAGGTTTGAGCTGGTGGCAAATTTTCCTACTCTCCCTTTTTTAGTTTATAAATCTCTTTTTTTTTTTTTTGTCTGCTGTCCTGGAAACCCCTGGGCAGGGGGAGAAAGGGGCAGGATGGCTCAAAGGTTAGAGCTACAAGTTATATATTTGAATCCAGGTGCCCAGAATTAGAAAAGGGGGGCTGTGCAAAGGATTATTAGGGTGATAGGAGTGGCAGGGAGGGGGGGCATTTTTAACTTTGGGGGGGCTTTTGAAAAAAGGGGAGGAGGGAAGGGGAGAGAGAAGCTGGCCTGATTTGGGAGTTTTTTGGGGTTTTTTTTTTCTCTTCCTGACTTGAGTGACGTTTGCTTAAGAGTCAGGGAACAGGTTTCAGATAGAAATTGCTTTGACAATTCGGGGAAGGGGCGTCCGGTCTTGCAAGGCTGGGAGCGATGGGAGTTGTGGTGCCGTCACTCACCCGCACACACACACACACACACACCACCCTCCCCGCGCCAAGACGGGGATTGCAACCGAAGCAGAGAAGACTTCGGGAAAGGCTGGACACGCCACGCGGGAGCCGCTGAACACGCGGGTCGGATCCTCGCAGGCGAACCCGTGTCTTGTTTCTCGCGCTTCCTTCCCCTTTCCTTGCCACCCTTGAGGACTACACCTCCCATCAGGCGCAGTAGGGCATTTCTGTAGGGGGGGGGGGAGATTAGTCCAAGCTGATGATCCCAGCATCCCCCCCCCATGCCAGAGAGATGGGGGGGGGGTCTCTCCTGCTGGGGGGAAGCGAAGCCGGCACCCCCGGGAAGGGGGCAAGCCATTTTTAACCGGGGAGGGGGCATTTTTACTTCGTGCTGGAGATCTGCCACCCCCCCCCCACACACACACACACACCTCCAGTTTCTTACCGGGCAACGTGGAGCAGAAGCGATTCGCCGTTTTCCCACGTGTGTTTTGCACGTGAAGATTTCCCCCTTAGGGGTTGCAATATCCCTGCCCATGCTACTCCCCCCCCCTCTCCAGAGGCAGCTAAGCTAATCCATTCAAGGGTGGGTGGGGAATAGAATAGAATAGAATAGAATAGAATAGAATAGAATAGAATAGAAATTATGGGATAGAATAGAATAGAATAGAATAGAATAGAATAGAAATTATGGGATAGAATAGAATAGAATAGAATAGAATAGAATAGAATAGAATAATGGGAAAAGAATAGAATAGAATAGAATAGAATAGAATAGAATAGAATAGAATAGAATAGAATAGAGAATGGATGAAAATAATAATAGAATAGAATAGAATAGAATAGAATAGAATAGAATAGAATAGAATAGAATAGAATAGAAATACGGGATAGAATATTTTCCAAAGCGCCTGGAGGCAGGACAAGAAGCAACGGGTGGAAACTAATCAAGGAGGGAAGCAATCTAGAACTAAGGAGAAACTTCCTGACAGGGAGAACAATTAACCAGTGGAACAACCTGCCTCCAGAAGCAGTGAATGCTCCAACACTGGAAGTTTTTAAGAAGAGACTGGACAGCCATTTGTCCGAAATGGTATAGGGTTTCCTGCCTGAGCAGGGGGTTGGACTAGATGACCTTCAAGGTCCCTTCCAACTTTACTATTATTATAATTAGAATAGAATAGAATAGAATAGAAATACGGGATAGAATAGAATTATGGGTTAGAATAGAATTACAGGTTAGAATAGAATAGAATTACGGGATAGAATAGAATAGAATAGAATAGAATAGAATAGAGTCGGAAGGGACCTTGGAGGTCATCTAGTCCAACCCCCTGCTCAGGCAGGAAACCGTATTTCATTTCAGACAAATGGTTGTTCAATTTCTTCTTAAAAACTTCCACTGTTGGAGCATTCACAACTTTTGGAGGCAAGTTGTTACCTCTGGATGCTCTCCTCCCTAGCATTCTTTCCATCATCCACACCCTCACCTGGACACACCCGGCTGGCATTAGGAACGCAGGGGTGGGGTGAACGGGCAAATAGGATTAGATTTTGCTCCCAGGTTTTCTTTCTCTGCACCCCCTGGCCTTTTTGCCCCACCTACCTCACAGGGTTATTGTTGTGGGGAAAAAATAAAGAGGAGAAAGATGTCTTGGATGTGTTCTTCACCTTGAATTATTTGCACAAGTAATAAAGGCAGGATACAAATTAATAAATATAAATAAAGGAAATACGTGCTGTTCCTGGAAAGGAGAGGGGGGGCATTTCCTACAGAAATAGTTCTGCCTTCAGGGCAGATGCCCAGAGCTTCAGCAAAACGTGGGCGAATCTCTGTGCAGTACAGCCTCCAATCTAAAATGAGATTTATTTATTTTTTTGCAAGAGGCGAAAAAAAAAACCACCCATTCCAGGCACTAATCTTTCCGATAATATTTGATGCTCTGTGGGAGATGCATGAAACCTCGATTCCCCCTCCCCCCAAAAAAATCCCTAAATGAATTTCTCCCTTTGGGGGCAGAAAAGGACCCCAAATTTTGCAATTCTTTTAAAATATTTTCTTTCTGGGGTTTCCCCCCCCTCCCTCTCTTGTTTTTTTTTTCTTTTTCCAGATTGCTGTTCCACGTGGACCCTTGCCATGGCGCTGACTCACAGCTTCTCGCCCCCGCTGTGTTTTGCAACAGCTCAAGGTTGGTACTGCCAATGCTTAACTCCCCCTCCTCCCATCACACACTAGTTGTGACTCCACCAAAGATAGCAAAAGCTTTTGGCTCTGATTTTCGGAAAAGGACTTAATGCTGTTCCCCTTTTAGCGTGACTTGCTTGAGGGAAAAAGCCTGGAAATTGGAAAAGCTTTTTTTTTTTGCTCGCAAGATGTCTTGTTATCCTAAGGTTGGCTTTTCCTAACCAGAGAGTAGGAATACAGAATAACAGAGTTGGAAGGGACCTTGGAGGTCATCTAGTCCAACCCCCTGCTCAGGCAGGAAACCCTGTACCATTTCAGGCAATTGGCTGTCCAGTCTCTTCTTAAAACCTTCCAGCGTTAGAGCATTCACCGCTTCTGGAGGCAGGTTGTTCCACTGGTTAATTGTTCTCACTGTCAGGAAGTTTCTCCTTAGTTCTAGGTTGCTTCTCTCCTTGATTAGTTTCCATCCATTGCTTCTTGTCCTGCCTTCAGGTGCTTTGGAGAATAGCTTGACTCCCTCTTCTTTGGGGCAGCCCCTGAGATACTGGAAGACTGCTATCATGTCCCCCCTCGTCCTTCTCTTCATTAAACTAGACATACCCAATTCCAGCAGCCGTTCCTTATATGTTTTAGCCTCCAGTCCCCTAATCATCTTTGCTGCTCTTCTCTGCACTCTTTCTAGAGTCTCAGCATCTTTTTTATATCGTGGTGACCAAAACTGGATGCAGGATTCCAAGTATGGTCTTTACCAGTACAGTGTTTGTTTATTTTATTATTATTTTATTTTATTTTATTTTATTTTATTTTATTTTATTTTATTTTATTTTATTATTTTATTTTATTTTATTTTATTATTTTATTTTATTTTATTTTATTTTATTTTATTTTATTTTATATTTTATTTTATTTTATTTTATTTTATTTTATTTTATTTTTTTATTTTATTTATTTTATTTTATTTTATTTATTTATTTATTTATTTATTTATTTTATTTATTTTATTATTTTATTTTATTATTTTATTTTATTTATTATTTTATGTTATTTTATTATTTTATTTTATTTTATTTTACTTTATTTTATTTTATTATTTTTTATTCTGGGAGTTGAAGTCCACATGTCATAAAAGGGCCAAGTTTGAAGACTCCTGTCTTATTGTCTTACTATTGTTGTTCCATCCATGGTGACCGCTGGGGCTCCTGATTTCTTTTTGATTCTTTGCCTCCTTTTCAGCTCCTCCAAGGAGTTAGGGAAGCCCCATCCTTCATCTCCTGACCAGGATGACCTCCAACCCCACCTATGATTATCCGGAGCCCTATGCCAACCCCCGGGGAGAGGCTGCGGCTTTGCCCCGCAACGTCAGCCTGGTGGGACGACTGCGACTCACCCAGCCCGTTTGGCTCCAGCTGGACATCAATTCGGCCACAGCCCTCCACATCTTGCAACGGGAACCGGCCGGGGTAAGGACCAGGGTTAGGACCTAGGAGGAGTAAGAACTGGGGTTAGGACCTAGGAGGAGTAAGAGCCAGGGCTAGGACCTAGGAGGAGTAAGGACCGGAGTTAGGAGGACCTAGGGGGAGTAAGGACCAGGGTTAGGAGGACCTAGGAGGAGTAAGGACCGGAGTTAGGACCTAGGAGAAGTAAGGACTGGGGTTAGGACCCAGGAGGAGTGAGGACCACGGTTAGGACCTAGGAGGAGTAAGAACCGGGGTTAGGATCTAGGAGGAGTAAGGACCGGGGTTAGGAGGATCTAGGAGGAGTAAGGACCAGGGTTAGGAGGACTTAGGAGGAGTAAGGACCAGGGTTAGGACCTAAGAGTGAGGACCAGGGTTAGGAGGACCTAGGAGGAGTAAGGACCGGGGTTAGGAGGACCTAGGAAGAGTAAGGACCGGGGTTAGGACCTAAGAGTGAGGACCGGGGTTAGGAGGACCTAGGAGGAGTAAGGACCAGGGTTAGGAGGACCTAGGAGGAGTAAGGGCCAGGGCTAGGACCTAGGAGGAGTAAGGACCAGGGTTAGGACCTAGGAGGAGTAAGGACCAGGGTTAGGACGTAGGAGGAGGAAGAATTCCCCTTCTCTTGCTTTGTCTGTACCATCACCCAATTTCTTGTTTCCGCAGACATTTCTGGTGCGAAGGTCCAACACCCGCCAGTGCCAAGTTCTTTGTCTCCGTCTTTTGAATGACTCTTCGCCTGCTTTTGTGACAACTTACCGTTTACACCAGGAACGGGCAGGTAAGAGCAGGCTGGCATTTTCAAAGAAAATAGGAAATTCCCACGATTGAGAATCATAAAATATAAATAATAAATAAATCACTCACACGATTTAAACAGAAAAGTAGATTCTCTGTATTTTTCCTGGGCTGGACATTGTATACAGATAGCCCTGGATTTATAATCATTCATTTAGTGACCGTCTGAAGTTTCCAGGCCACTGAAAAAAAAAGAGACTGAGGACCGTTTGTCACACTTACGACCGTCGCAGCCTCCCCAGGGTCACGTGATCCGAATTCAGGCGCTTGGCAACTGACTCATATTTATGACGGTTGCAGTGTCCCGGGGTCACGTTTGCAACCTTTTGACAAGCAAAGTCAATTTTGGAAAGTCAATTTTCCTTCCAAGTACAGGTAATCCTTGACGTATGACCAGAATTGAGCCGAAAATTTCCGTTGCAAAGCGAGACAATCGTGAAGTGAATTTTGCCCCATTTGACGACCTTTCTCGCCACAGTTGCTAAGTGGATCACTGCAGTTGTTGAGTTAGTGACCCGGTTGTTAAGTGAATCTGACTTCCCCATGGACTTTGCTTGTCAGAAGCTCGCAAAAGGGGATCACGTGACCCTGGGACACGGCGACCGTCATAAATATGAGTCTAAGCACTGGAATTTTGATCACGTGACCACGGGGGGGAGGCTGCAACGGTCGTAAGTGTGAAAAACGGTCATAAGTCACTTTTCTTAGTGCTGTTGTAACTTCAAACAGTCACAAAATGAACTGTTGTAAGTCAAGGAGTGCCTTTATTCTGCATTATTTTTTTGCAACAGATTTTCAGATGGAAATTAATCGCAACTGTTGAGTAGATGAGAAGGCTTTTTCCTCCTCTTAATATTTTAATATCCTCTTTAATATTTTTTAAAAAATTTTCTAGCTATTACACTGGAGGGATCCGATCGGAGTTTTCCCACGCTTCTTCATCTCGTTGCTTTTTACTGCTCAGCTCCGTAAGTGATTTTAGCAAAATCTTTGGGGGGGTTGAAGGTATCGACGGTATCCAGAAAATGGGTCAGGTCACTAACCAAGTTACTGAACGCATACAAAATTGTACAGAGTACCATCTTACCTGTAAATGATTTTTTAAAATTTTTTAATCATAATGTCACGCCTGCGAACAGCCGCTTTAAACTTAATGTAAACCGCTTTAAACTTGATGGTAAAAAAAATAATCTTTGTAACAGAGCTGTCGAAGTCTGGAATGTCTTACCCGATTCAGTTGTCTGGGCTACTAACTGTCACAGTTTTAATGCCAACGTAATTTCTGTGGACCTCACCCCATAACTAAGGGGGCGTGTGTAACTGCACTAACAGGCCTATCGTTCCTGTCACATTTTCATTTTGTTCATTTGAATTTGTAATTTTTGAAAGAAAGAAAGAAAAAAAGAAAGAAAGAAAGAGAGAGAGAGAGAGAGAGAGAGAGAGAGAGAGAGAGAAAGAGAGAGAAAGAAAGAAAGAAAGAAAGAAAGAAAGAAAGAAAGAAAGAAAGAAAGAAAGAAGAAAGAAAGAAAGAAAAGGGGAGAGAAAGAGAGAGAAAGAAAGAAAGAAAGAAAGAAAGAAAGAAAGAAAGAAAGAGAGAAAGTAGGAAGGAAGGAAGGAAGGAAAGAAAGAAAGAAAAAGAAAGAAAGAAAGAAAGAAAGAAAGGGAGGGGGAGAGAAAGAGAGAGAGAGAGAGAGAGAAAGAAAGAAAGAAGAAAGAGAGAGAGAAGGAAGGAAGGAAGGAAGGCAAGAGAGGGAGGGAGGGAGGGAGGGAGAGAGAGAGAGAGAGAGAGAGAGAGAGAGAGAGAGAGAGAGAGAGAGACCAACTTCCGACAAGCAAAGTCAATGAGGCAAGCCAGATTTGCTTAGTGACCTGTGATTCGCTTAACAAATCTGGGAAAACTCTGGATGAGGTTCTCTTTTTCCCCTCTCTTAAGGGACGTCCTGCCTCTTCCTCTACGTCTCCCGCAGCCTATCTGGGAGGCTTCAACCTGCCAGGAGCTGGAAGCCATTGCTCACCTGGGCCTAGGTAAGATTTTTACCACAATCACCTTTGATGCTTCCCCAATAAACACACCTAGGCCTTGAGATGGTCTAGGTCGTCCTGCTTGAGCAGGGGACTGGACTAGAAGACCTCCAAGATCCCTTCCAGCTCTATTCTATTCTATTCTATTCTATTCTATTCTATTCTATTCTATTCTATTCTATTCTATTCTATTCTATTCTGTATTTGTATTCTATTCTCTAGTCTATTGTATTCTCTATATTCTCTATTCTATTCTTTTCTATTCTATTCTATTCTAGTCTAGTCTAGTCTAGTCTAGTCTAGTCTATTCTGTATTTCTATTCTATTCTGTATTTCTATTCTATTCTGTATTTCTATTCTATTCTCTAGTCTATTGTATTCTCTATATTCTCTCTTCTCTTCTCTTCTCTTCTATTCTCTTCTATTCTATTCTATTCTATTCTATTCTATTCTATTCTTATCTGGGCCTGTGGATCTTTGAGTCTCTGGGCTCAGAAGCCTGGAGTTAGGATAGTACTGCTTTATACTCTAAGGCCACACTAGGAATATTGTGTCCAGTTCTCGTCACCACTATACAAAAAAGATGTTGAGATCTTAGGAAGGGTGCAGAGAAGAGCAATAAAGATGATAATGGATACTGGAGAGTAAAACATATGATGAACAGTTGAAGGAACTAGATATGTCCAGTCTAAAGAAGAGAAGGATTAGGAGTGATATGATAGCCATCTTCCAATATTTGAGGGGCTGCCCCAAAGAAGAGGGAGTCAAGCTGTTCTCCAAAGCGCCTGAAGGCAGGACAAGAAGCAACGGATGGAAACTAATCAAGGAGAGAAGCAACCTAGAACTAAGGAGAAATTTCCCAACAGTGAGAACAGTTAACCAGTGGAACAGCTTGCCTCTGGAAGTTGTGGGTGTTCCATCACTGGAGACTTTTAAGAAATTAGACAGCCATTTGTCTGAAATGGTATAGGATTTCCTGTCTTGGGTCTAGGGGGTTGGACTAGAAGACCTCTGAGGTCCCTTCCGGTCGTATAATTCTACGTTCTTTTCCTTCTCATTCTCCTGCAGAATTCTGGAATTCCTCTCTCAATGCCAAGGGATCCACCCAACTGGCTTGTTTGGGATCGACTTCCAGCACTGATGCACTCTCTCCATCCCATCCCTTGAGAGACCCCCAAGATCCAAACAAGCCCCAGACGGGTGGAGGAGAGCCCACCCAAGCCCCTGGCCTTCCTCCCACCTCTCTGGATGGCCCATCCCTTGAAGACGTGAGCGTCCGACGCCGGTATTTCAAGAGTAACATCAAAGTGCAAGTCTCCACCGAGGCTGCCAGCCCCCTGTCCCCTCCAGCTGCTCCACCACCCCCCATTCCTGTTGGGAAGAAGAAGAGGAAGGCCCCTCTCCAGCCCCCTGCCTCCGATGGGAAAAGTCCATTTCCCAACAGCAACATCCAAGACTTTTCCACGGACAAAGCAGCGACTGGAAACCGCTGCACAACACAGAAGAATTCCTGAATTCTTCTTCAGCTTCGTTGGGTCAGCCGCTGTGAGTGATGGATGAGAAACAGGTGGGGGTACCTGGTAGGTAACACTGCCACTGCCCCCCCCATTGCTCAAAACTGGGCCTCGGAGTCCAAAACTACATTTCCGGTTCACCTGAGTCTTGTTGGGTTGCAGGTACGTAAGAAATGGAAGACAATGGTGTATCCAAGGCAGAAATACAGGTAGTCCTTAAATTATGACCACGATCAGGATTGGATGTTCCACTGCGGTTGTTAAATGAGTCACGCCTGATTTTGTAGCCTTTTCTTACCGTGGTTGTTAAGCGAATCATGCAGATGTTAAATCCCGCTTCCTCCATTGACTTTGCTTGCCGGAAATGTTAGAAATTCTGCGTATATATAGCACCGCAGATCAAGCAAGGTGCACAGTCACCATGTGGTTTACCGCTTAACTGTTTAACTGAAACAGTTAGCACTACTTAGGACAAAAGAATATAGAGTATAGAGGGCATCTAGTCCAACCCCTTGCTCAGAGCAGGCTCTGCTAAGAGCATTTCTGATCAATGACCCTCCAGCCTCCGTTTGAAACTGGCCTACCTGGCAAGGCTGTCAGCGTGAAAAGACAAATTATACATGCTGCTTTGGTTTTTTCCGGAGCAAAACTGAGATCGTTCTTAAATGTTTTCTTAACTCGTTTATAACAATGTCAGCCAGTTTGTGTTGGACAGAGTATAATTAAGAGGTGTAATTTTATGTGTTTATATAAGCTTAGGTCAAATCAGGACATGTAAAGGTATAGTATCTAGTTACCTGTTAGTATTTTTTTGTGTGTAATTTTCCTTTCTCTACTTAAAGAAAAAACAAATATTGACGTTCCTCTTTGGTCTCTCAATATTTGAAGAAGTAAGATATTATGCTGTGATTGAATGTTTTTGCTACTAAACGTTTACTAGTGTTATTTGGCTGCTGTTACTTTTATATATATATATATATATCTTGGGTGCAGCCTCTTCTATGAAGAGCAGGCATTTCAAAACATTTCAGATAAAGTTCATTGATAAAAACACATTTACGTCTCTGTCTGTTTCATTTTATTTCCTTATTTTTCCAGGCCACAAGTGCCCTCCGGGAAGGGGGGGAGAACAGATCACAACACCCATCATCCCCACCCCAACTGGAGAAGGCTTGGGTAAACCGAGTCCCGGGAGCCTCCCGATGGTGTATTGATCTGATTTTTTTATTTTATTTTTCTTTTTTTTAAATTTATTTTTATTGGCTTAGATTTGCTGAAAACGGGGCAAATGAGGATTTTCCCCCCCCCCGCTTAATTTTATTTCTTCAATAAATAAATATATACAGGATAGTACTTGACTTACAGCCACAAACTGTTGTAAGTTGAGGACTGCCTGTATCCTGGAAGAACAACACAAGGCATTCTCTTTTCCATCTTTTCCCTCACAACAGCCTTGCGAGGTGGGCCTGGCTGAAAGCAAATATCTTTCCATTGTTGAGGATGGACTCCGTTTTGGTCCCTTTTTGGAGGGAGAAAATCATCTTAAAAGATGATCTTCCCTTCTAAGTAAATCCAGCAATTCGGTTCTGCTTCATTCGGGGAAAAGTCACTCTGACCTCCTTTCCCCCCCCTCCCATGGAGCTGGACCTGGGGCAACGACTTTCCCAAAATAGTTTTTCCCCCAGCGATTCTACTTTGGGGTGAGGAAAGAGGCAAGCAAGAGCAGAATTCTCCTAAATTTAATTGGAGTGACCTTTTCATCACCTTCCAAAGAGTTTTTTTTCCCTTTCCTTTCCTTTCCTTTCCTTTCCTTTCCTTTCCTTTCCT